AATTTGTCTAAGATAATATTTTGGCAGCAATTTAGTTTTGTAGTTTGCCCTGATTCTGTCATACCTAGCAGTCTTGTTATCTTTGAGAGAAAATGCCACAGAAGCTCGAGTAATATTATAACAATAGGTATGATCTCATAACATTCCAGCTTTGACGTAAGGAATTACAATACAAAATAGTAATATCATTGCTGTAAGATTTTTCTGTACATCATTCTTCTTTAAAGCTTACTAAGTAAACAGTAAGTTTATTAAAACAAAAGGTGTCATTGTATCGTGTACCGCACTAGGGTCTTCTTTATTTGTTTGGCAGTTAATAATACAAAGGTAAATGAATCTAACATAATTAACTTTATATTAAAACAGTATTTTATTAAAAAAGTACTGCATTCAAAAAAATATATTTATAAAACTTCAATATAATTATCTTAATTTCGTTGTTTTAGTTGTTAGTTGTTAAGTTACTTCGTAATTATGGACGTTCTATTTGGCGTTATCTTTTGAAATATATAATAAACAAGAATGTATCTTGATTGTTTGTTGATTGCTTATTGTTTATTATAAATGAGATGAGAAAACTTTGATTGTTGTAAGTACACAACAAAAGTAAACGTATATTAGAATTACTAATATTATTTGTGTCGCTTTCGACCTCATGTCTGTAACTACTGTGCTTGTTTTTCTGATAGCAGAGACGAAGGCGGTGGATAAAACGATTTTATTACATCTTGCAAATGAATATCAGCAGTGATATTGTTATAAAAACAGCCTCGAACTCGTCGTCGACCGGAGAGCCGTCATAGCATGGAGGTTCAGTCAAATAAAGCCAACCCCAAGCGTGAAGCTCTATGCTGTCATAGTGTTGTGCTCGACCTCGAGCTGGTAGCTGTTACTTAGCAGAATAACATTGGGGTTATTAGAATTCTGATGATTCCGATTGCTTTCTTTTTTTTCTATTTTTTCCTTTCTTCCTTCGGCGTTCTATTCATCAGAATAGAACGCCGAAGGAAGAATGGAATCGGAAGTTCATAATCTATCAAGATTATGAAGTATGAATCGGACTTGTCAAGCGCTACATGTCAATTTTATGGATTGAAAACCTTAGTTCCCGTAACGTAGTTACGGAGGAAAAATCAATATAAAATTTTGAGTTATATCTTTGATATGAATTGCTCTCGATACTTATTCGGTATTCGATACGATAAGGTCGCAGGTTGTCTTGTAGTAATCGATATTGCTGGCATTAATTATTTATTTGATTAGTGCAAAAGCCATTAATAAATGTACAAACTGAACAGTATCAACAGTGACCATCCGTCCTAATGCAAGAGAGCTAGATGCTATGTGTATGCTCTTTATACTCTATACTAATAAATTTATTTCGCCATTAAAGTGTCGTAGTGACAATGTTTAGTTATGGGACTTTTAACGGCATACAAAAGTGCTACAAAAATTTCGGTGAGTGGAGTCTTAGTGTCTTTTGAGTCATATGGTATATGTTGAATTCTTTTTTCTCTTTTTATTTAGGAATATGTTTGGTTTCATTTAAAAATAGCTCAATGAAGAGGCGGTATGAGGTTTCTTTTAATGGTATAGGTCAATTCGAACAATCATAATACGTATATCAAAAGTAGTTATGATACAAAAGTCACCTAAGTATTAACTAGCTAAACAGGTATTAATTTACTATTTACTGTAGTCTCTAAATTATGATTTTTTTTCTTAATTTTATCCCCTAGTTTTAGACATAAAAGGGCGAATTATTATTAATTCAAGTCATTTTCTTAGATTTTATTACTTCGCGTGGATATGATTTATTGTTTATTGAATTTATTGTAAAGTGTTTGAACTTACATTTCCATTTTTAAAAAAATTTTTTTTAAACAATATTTTTGAATTGAGATGAATTTCATTATTAATGATTAAAGCAATTTCAATGTCAAACATGGAAATGAAAAAAGTGATGCAAAAACAATTATATTTCAATAATAATGCACACTCAAACCCGTTTTCATTAACCGAGAACAAGGCATAGATTAAATAGAAATCTATATACCTAATTATAAAGCTGAAGAGTTTGTTTGTTTGTTTGAACGTTAATATTAATACGCATAAGTTATGTTGGTTAAGAATGGCTAAGAAAAAGAAATACACGAAAGTGTTACATTTAGTACACCTTACTGATCGCTATATGACGTTACTGTACTTTTTAAACTGGATTTTGATCTTTTTTATGTTTGTAGTCTTTATTTTTTTCGGTAGCTTTCGTTTTCAAGTTTGTGGTTTTTTCAATAAAATAAAATAATAGGGAATTATTAATAGAGCGAAAATTTTTAATGTTACTTTTATTTGACGCTACTGGTCACTAGATGATGCTACTGTACTTTGAAAACGAGTAAAGTGGGGGATGAAATATCTTTTTATCTTCCCATAGCGTGGGATATCATTGGATAAGCCTTTCAAAATTATGCGATGTGTGGGATGAAAGTGCCAATTGCTGTTAATTTTTTTGAGTCAAATATCCCCCGTCCCCCTACCAACTAGGTATCTCTAAAATATTAAAGATCTACTTATAAAGGAACTTATATTTACATAACGAAAGACCTCAAATTTTTATTTATTTGCACGGCGTATCCACGAAGGAATCGGTTTGCAGAAAAAATATACATACCAGTTGAACATTGAAATTCCTCTTTTCGGATTCTGAATGAATCCAAAGTACGCTATCTTTTGTTTTTTCGCCGATATAAACATGTCATCAAAATATTTGGGTGATATCTGAAGAAAAGGTTTTGTTTAGTTATAATAAGAAAACTACTGATTCGATTTCGATAAATTTAATAAAATATAATTTAGACAATCGATTCATAATTAGCGGACTAATCGCGCAACAAACATACAGTGGAATAGGGATGATGACTAATTTTTGTTTGTTTGTCCGTCAGATAGAGTGTTAAAAAATATTAAACACGTATTTTTTTATTTTTTCATAATCATAAAATTACGGCGTTACATGGAGTTGAAATTTCGCATGACGTCACGTTAGGGTACGTTTTCTACTCAACTGTGACGTAGCGAGTCCCCACTCCTCAACTTTAATGCCTGTTATCTAAGCTATTTCTTGTTAAATTGAAGTAAAAAAAAACACGTATCTAATATTTTTCTATTATCTGACTGAAGGACTAAATAGAATTGCATTTTTTTTACCCAGTCATCATCCCTATAGAAAACCTCCTCCTTTTTGAAGTCCTTTATAAATAGCAACATTTCAAAGTATGAGAGTTAAATAATTAATTAGGGGAAAAAATGCTAAGTGAAAGAAATAAGATTCGTTCGTTACCTAAAAATTGAAGAGATGACGTCATTTCCGTTGGCATAATTTTATTTGCTATCACGCACAAAATCTTTGAAAATGCTGAATTGAGAAAGCAAGAACAAGCTGACTATTAAGTTGCTATGAGGATCAGTCATAGAGTCTTGCACAAGCAAAGCATCAGGCGGTACCTTAGCTGAAAGTTCAAATAAGCACAGTAGTTGCAGATCCAAGCAAAATGACGACGTTATTATTAAACGCATAAAGAATAGTCCTTATATTATCACTAAAAAGATGTTTTTTTCAAAGAATTCTTGTTTTTATTTTTTTGCTAGAAAGTGTTAGAATTTCTTTCTTCATTGTACCAATTTGCAATCCAATAAAAATACAGTAAATGTACGTACGTTCACTTGATAATAGAGTATTGTTAGATGGTGATAGATTTTAGATTGTTAGCTCCGGCCGGCGTTGTTCGTAGGAGTTATGAAAGTGATTCTGTGGTACTACTTTACTAAAGTTGAAGAGTTTCAACATAGACAGTGACACCCACTGAATACTCACGGTGACGAAAAACATTGCATTGGAGATTTCAGTGAAATAATTGGAGCGTATCGGAATATTTACTCTACTCTAGTTTGCAGTGGCGCATTTTAAGGTACAGGGTCCCGAGCTTTTTATACATCCTAAAAAGAAAATCCAGGTGTATTTTGTTACTGTGGGCTGAAAAAATTATCATAAGATTATGTATTAAAGAAGCTAAAAATACCAGAAAACTTTAAAGACAAAGTAATGAACAGGTTCAGTTTTATTTCGCTCGCGATTTACCTGCCATAAACTATTTAGCGCTAGAGAAAATGGGCCTCTAATTCTGATAATTTGCGTGCAACTAATTAGCTAACATGGCATCAAATCGATCAACTACTGTTTGAATTTTGCAGCGAATAAAGCTTATTCTACAAAATATTTTTTTTCGTGAATAACTAGCAACCTTTTAGTACTACACAGTTGTTACTTATTATTTATATATATTTTTCATTAATGTCTGACTTGTTGTGTTACTTAATAAATAAATAAACCTACCATAAACTTTTGCATCTCGGCAAAGGACACCCAGTCGGCATGTTTTTTCCAACTTTTTTAATAATCAGTCTTATTTTCAAACTTTCACTGAAACTGTATTTATGTACACACAAAACAAAATACAATTATATTACAAAAAATATTTTATCTATAAAACCTCAAGAAATTCCGTTCGGTATTTACATCTATGGTAGTTTATAAGTTTTCCACGTTAGAGATGGTGGGAGAAACCCACTGTTGGGTCTGTGACCTAGTCTAGTTGGAGAAATGCTGTTATAGATCTACATGTGGCGGGTGGAACTACGAGCACTTATTAGTAGTAGGGGTGGAATTTTATGAAACTATACCCAGAGGGACATTTTTTCTGGGTTAAGATTCATCGCGTTGTTACACTTATATTACTATTATATTCGATTATGCTAGAGGTTCTTTGAATAATAGTTTGATGTCTTATTCACGTTAAGCGGGAAGTTTTGCTTTAATCGTAAATATTCTTGTTATTTTTATAAAAAGAAAGACATTCGTGGCAACTATGTACGCATTTTCATATACAACGTGAACTTAAAAATTAATGGTGATTTAATTAAGCAATTGCGGAAATTGGACATTATACCAAGATGTCTTATTAATTGTTGAGAGATTTCTATATGTAAAAGGATTGGTTTTAAATTTGTATTTGCTTGTGTATATTTACGTAATAATTATTAGCCCGATTAAACGACCAGGTGACTAAAAAGTCTGCAGTCATTGAAATATCTTTTTTAGTATTATCTATGAACGCATATATGTCACAGAATACATATATTATATTTGCTACTTTTTTGTCAACCAGGGTGGCGCGAGCCGGATGGGGAGAAGTCTCCGTTCCTCCGCAACGAGCCAGTGAAGCTGACCCCTGCGTGGGAGGGCAGCAACCTGCCCAATGACACGCTCAACTTGAAAGGTAATCCGCCGTGATATGCCCACAACGTTTAGGCGTGTCTCACACTGAAATGCATCCTGCACCTGTGTGCGATCGAAGAGAATGTGATATCGGGTATTTTATCTGTCAAATTATTAAGATTAAATTTAAGAAGCGGAGCTAAGACACCTTGTTTCTGTAATTAAGCGCGACTTATCGGTATCTGGTGTCGAAAGCAATATAAACCGTCGAGCGTATATAGAAATATTTATAAATGTCAAGGAAGCTAATGTCCATATGAAGGATAGAATATCCCACAATCTCAATTATTAAAGTATCTATATGAAATGGGTTGAGCTGATATTTGCAAAAGATTGCAGTAGTCTTGAGTCATATTGAGTCTGGTCAAGAGGCTGTGTCAGTTTTGTACAATAAGTAATCATATAAAATTAAGGACTTAAAAGTGTCGTCAAACTACATCCCGCATCGCGCTCGCTCCGGTGTGCGTTTCAATGTGAGATACGCCTAACAAACATGACTTACAAAATACAAATTCTTTCCATCACATATTTAAAGTTTTTAGGTACATCAGTAAAACCTAGTAGATTTCAATGATGAAAACGTTATCGCTGGTTTATAACTGGTTAGTATTGCTAGAAAAATGCTGATGTGAAATATGTTAACTTAGGTCTTCTGCGTACAAATGATCAATATATGAGGGATGGTCTGCAACGTACAGTGGCTCATCGGAGGTTTTTTAACGATTACGACAGCGTTTATCTTAGTAACACGAGTTAATACGCTAAGGGTAAATATATCTTATTCATTAGCATCACGTTGATTGTTAGTAGGTATTTAGCACTCGTAAACTCGTAAGGGTTAATGTAGAAGTTGTATTGGCTTAAAGGCTCAATTACCTACTCAAAATAAAGTAACTCAAAATTTTAAACTACTACTCACAGTCCGAAATAGGTTATCTACCCTTTTGAAACTAATCGATATTTTGAAACGGGCATCTGTGAAAACATATTATGAAATTAGAATTGTTTTCCGGGGTGGTAAGCAGACACAATATTGTTCCTGGATCCTAAATAGCCAAAGTTATCATCATTAATATGCGTAAATATGTAGTTTCTGCGTAAATATTATCATTTTATGGTTTCAATTCAATAACATTTCTCTTTGTCAGCGTTCTTGTTAATTTAACATAATATTATCGTTTTGGTCAACGTGTTTCCTTGAAAGATTCTGTAGTAGTAGTAATAATACTAGTAGTAATTCTGCATCAAGTTCTTGAAATGTTGTTTTGGTTATCATTGTCGGAATAAAGATGAAAAATATTGTCACAACTTTTTGTTTTCTCCTTTTATTAACCAATCAATCGTACATCGGGCGGTTGTTGATTTTTGTCAAGTCCAATTTTGTTAGGACATAAACCAGGTTGGTGTATATTGAACTAGTTTTCCGCCAGCGGCTTCGCCCGCGCGCTCTTGTATTATACATAAATAACCTTCCTTTTGTATCACTTTATCTATGAAAAGAAACCGCATCAAAATCCGTTGCGTAGTTTTAAAGATTTAAGCATACATAGGTATGTAGGGACAGAGAATGCGACTTTATTTTATACTATGTAGTGGATGTAGGGAATGCGACTTTATTTTATACTACGTAGTAATGCGCGCGTACGACTTCTCATGATACAACTAGAAAGTAATTTCTTTCATCCTTATTTAATTTTCTCTAAGTGTTCAAACAGTCGAGAAGCATACTTCGACCCTTTAAAATTTTATTACATTATTCATTCTTTATTCTCGTAGCAAATTCCCATATGGCAAAATTAACATAAATAACGACATACATAGTTCTACCATCTGCTAAAGGAAAAAAATATAATTTGTCGTTGAGTAATATGTCATGTGCTTCGAACAGTCTCATTTATAAGCGAAAATGGAAAGCGGAAAGATGATAATAAATTGCATAAAGAAATATAACAATCGCTTTCTATAGATAATAGAATTCCGTGTGCGATGGAACGAGGGGCGATAGGATGGAGATTCCTTATTATTTAGAGGAGTATATAAATTTATTGTTGTGAGAAAATAGCAGCCGGCTTTTTTAGGATATATTTTACGTTATATTATATAATTTAGTAGGTATATCTATTAAGCTAGGACTTTAAAAGAATTGTGTAAATGTAAAACTTTTGTGAAATGAAATGGTCTTGATTTAAGTAAGCTTATAACAAGTACTTATGACGTTCAGGGCTTTTTAGCTGACAAGAAGAATGCGAAAGAAACTTACCAGCTCTTTATCATAAGTAATGGCATTTACATAAATCTTGTCATTACCGAAATAGTACGTATTATAACAATAATAAATAAAATTTTCAGTCTATAGGACACAGGTTGGTACATATAATTAGTCGTTATAGAACAAAGCGAAGGCTATTAATTCCATGAATTGCGATCCTTAAAATAATCATCAACTTTGTTGTTTAAAACTTTTTTAACTTTTTTACTTTTATCAATGACATACATAAAAGTTCCTCAAAAGTCCCGGATTAAAAAAAGTCATTTTTTTTTCATCTGGCAACACTCAGCTGAAAACATATCGACGCTAGAAAGCAAACACGTAGTAACCTGCAAAACCAAAATGGACATATGGAGTGGAAAATCTTTACATTTTTCCAAAAAAATAAAATCTTTTTCCGTACAAATTGACTAAGGAACATCTTATTTATTACAATGGACGTTTATAGGAATTATTTATCGAAAATAAATAAAAGATTTTGTGCTCTGAAGAACACTTTTGGTTTTGCGGGTTACTAAGTACGTGTTTGCTTTCCAGCGTCGAATTTTTTGTTTAAATTATTCTGAAAAATGTAACCAAAATAAAATAACGTCAAAATCAGCCCCATACAGTGAAAGTAGTGAAAAATTATTAATTTTCAGGATAAAATGGTCGCAATCTTAGCCGCCATCTTGAATTTTAAAATTTTAACCACAGACCTATATAGCTCACTTATTAGGACATCCAACGTAGTTTTTATTTTTTTCCTAGCAGCGATCGTGACTGCGCTAGAGTCCAAAACGTGAATAGTGGGCATTAAATCTTCAACCCGCCGTAGCTACCAGGGTTGCCAGGTGATGATGATGAAAATGGTAAAATGTCATTGCTGGATGCGCCCCCCATCGACGAATAATAGCCTTTACTCATAAGTATGTTCTTTACATGATCTTTAAATTTATTTACGTAGGTCAATTAAATTTTGTGGAACTTTATTGAACATAGCAATGTATTTACCCAGAAATTATCCTCTGGTTTTTTGAAGTCTGAAGTCGAAGTAGTAATGGTATGTTAAATTAACAAAGTACATGTTATTTTAATGAAATATTTACATGACGTCCTCGACGTTGGTATGGAATTCGGATTCTAATTTTAATGCCTATATGTTGAATAAAATTCGATGTTATATAGGCTGTAATGCGTGCACTATATCATGCCATTACAAAATTCAATTGCTTGTAGATAGATAGAGATGTATTTATTATTTATTAAAATTGGCCCAGAAAAAAAATTGCGTTACCCGTTAGTTACTCTTACTTACAGAATGAAGGTGACAGTCCCTTTAGATATCACTCGCTCTTGGACTTAAATGAATTTGTAAATCAACGTTTACGGTAATGTACAGTGTAATTTGAGCTTTGTAACCATTATTGGACGTTGCGTTGGAGTGGTAAGACAGTTTAATATTTTCTTTGGTTCTGCCAAAAAAACTTGTACAACTTAAACAATTAAACAATTTTATTAAAAATTGTCACGAATTGTAAATATTTCTACACGTAGGGTGAAAAACATTCATTGCAGTAAGTAAACAAGTTTGCGTATTTTCTATGTTTTATTCTTTTTAGGGACTGTTTAAATAGAGCGCTGGAAAATTTATTAAAAATATTATTGAAGCAAGTGTTGGATATGTCAGCATTAAAATAAAATAGTCGAGTACAATAACGGATCCGAAATGTATTAGTAGAAAGAGTGTTAACTTGAAAGAAAGTTAGAAATGATAACGGGCATGATTCACTAGTTGTTAGGACAAGTGAAAAGAATGCCGGAACAAAGTATAACAAAACTAATATATAACTAAAATATAAAACTACTATATAAGGAATTAGATACTGAGGACCTATGATGATAGATTGACTTATCGGGTGGTGATTCCAGACGCTATAAAATCGAATAGAAAGGATTTAAATTAGGAAGTGAAAGATGTATCAAGAGCATGCCCTGTGGACAGTAAGATATAACTAGGTTAAACATTTTTTTTAAAATGAAACTTTTTTCTTCTTCCCAGGAATTGCAATGGACCTAGCACCACCTAAAGACAGATGGAACATGATATACATAATACTTGCGATACACGGACTTGGTACCTTGATAGCATGGAATATGTTCATCACTGCAAAGGATTATTTCGTTGAGTATAAATTAGCGAACGCCAAGGAATACTCTGAGCATTATTTGTCATACGTCGGATGGGCGGCGCAGGTGCCAAACTGTTTGTTCAATTGGATTAATATCTTCGTGCCTCTAAAGTAAGTTAAGCTCACAAACGAGTTATAGTTTTAATATAATCAATTTATAAGTTTTTAAACTAAGCGATTAAAAAAAACTTAAAAATTTTAACCTCAAAAAATTAATCAGTCTGTTGCTCTAACTCTATCTTATTTTTTGAAACAAATTATTATTTGATGATTGTTTTTATATACAGCACCATATTAATTCTAATGCCAAATTTCCGCAACCAATTTTGAGTTTGAGACAATAAGGTTTAAACTCGATTAGAGAAATTCAACATGTTTCGTTAACCATAATATACCACTCGGATAAATCTAATATTGCACGGTATATTGGTCTCTATTTGCACGTAACAGAGTACTGTTTAGCAGGAAGAAGAATTCATACGAGCGTATCTAATATTCATTACCCCTCTTGATATAGAGGTCAATATGCCAATTGTAATTTAAGAAATTAGAGTAGTTATTCTTAATGAAAAATGCTTAAAAACTACTTTGTCCCTGTAGATTTTTTAAACATTTTTCATAGAGCCTGGGTTGCGAAAGGTCATGGGTTACAGTCCCATGTCAGAGTACCAGAGACAAAAGTGGTTTTTTTAAAGTATTTTTCATTAAAATTATTTTTCAGTATAGCATTGTGAATGCAAAATAATTGGAATAGTTCCTTGCTGTATAGAGTTAATTATAACCCACTATCCAACGCAGCGACTAAACATAATTCGATTGTTTTGTCGCATTATCAAAGTGGGTAAATTGAAGCTTTCTAAAACACATGCAAATTCTTATGGGTTTGTGTGCACCTAAGTCTTGCAACATTTTGACAAAATATTTATTTAACACTAGCTGACCCGACAGACTTCGTCCTGTCAAAAAGATTTGTAATGTGGCAGTTTTTTTGCCTACGTATTTAAAAAAATTCTGAACAGAACCGTCACCCTGGTGATAGGGCGTTGTGAATAAAAAATAATTAAATAAAACATATATAAGGATTTAAAAGTAAGTAATCGCTTTATTGTTAATCATGTGAATCATAATTATTATTGCAATGTATTAATAGTAATAGTATTAAATATAGAAAAAAGAGATTTTTATGATCATAAAAACACATTACACACAACAGCATTATAAAAGTAAACTATTCGAATTAAAAAAATATATAAACATTCTCAAGGAAAAATGCTGGAAGAATCCATCTACCTGTACCCCGGAATGGGACTCGAACCCATTCGCGATCCAGGGACTGCTCTAACCAATGAGCTATCTAGGACCCAACAGCTTTGCTACTACAGAGCGTATTTTCATCAATGTTCCGGCAATACATGTATTACAAAAGATTTTTACATTACATACATTATTTTTCTAAATATGTTTTAGGATTGACGACGATCTATATTATCTATGGGTCACATAGAGTAAAAGCGGATATAATTCAGAACTGATTCATTTTTCCAAATAAAAAACAAACGGAAAACGTGCAATGTGGATAATATACTTAATTAAGTAGTTTATGAGTAGCACTTACTTGGTTGATCATGCACAATAAAGAGTTTGAGAATAATAAGTTTTTTTTTTTAATTTTCAGGGGCAGTTTGACGACGCGTATAGTATGGTCGCTGATGATAGAGGTAGCTATATTTGTGGTGACTGTTATTCTGGCCATGGTGGACAGCTCCCAGTGGCCCGCCACATTCTTCTGGCTCACGATGATATCTGTGTTGTTACTTAACTGTAAGTATTATTTGAATTATGTTATTATGAATTACTTGCTGACCCGGTGGACTTCGTATCACTTACCTCTTAATAAAAACCATATTAATATTGAAAAATATTGCATAAACTGACCACTGCACGACCATAAATATTGATCGTCAACTCAACGTTTGACAGCTAAGAACAGTTTGTATGGGAAAATCAAATTATCGTTTTTAGTATTATACTCGCAATTTTGTTATATTTTCTCTTTGTTTAAACCTTACTTGGACTTCCACGAATATTTCAAGACTAAAATTTGACAAATCGGTTCAGAAGTTCTCGAGTTTTAGTGAGACTAACGAACGAAAATTCATTTTTATTTATATAGATATAGTCGACAGAGGTCGAGATAGACTTCACGCTCAAATTAATTGAACGTTATCGCTTTATGATATAAGAAGTCAATTAAACTGACTGTGCTTTGTGGCGTTTAGTTTTTTATCCCGCAAGAGATCGGTCAATGCCTCTGCTGGCGTGACTATAGATAGATATTTCACTATTATTTGTTAGTCAAATTATATTATTGGTTAGTCAAATTGCACCGGTTGTAATAATATAAACATAATTTTTGTATCGCATAAATAGTCAATGTTAAATCAATGGACTAAAACGATGTATGTAAAAATCTAAATATTGTCGACTTGTAAATGTCAGGTATAAACAACTTCAGTATAGGTATATATGAAAAATTCAAGTACCTATATGATAAAAAAAATATCGTTTTTTTTTACTTCATCATAAATGATATTTAATGATTATTGAAATAGATCAATAAACAATCACAAACCTGCATATAATTATATTTTTATATGCTACTTACCACTGATGTTTGTATAATAAATCTATTTGAGAAACTTTATATATATATTATTTATATAAGTAAATTATGAATGGCATGTGAATATTTAAAACCGGTTTTGTTAAAAAGACGATCCACATGCTTACTAAATATAATCTGAGGAACGGGAATAAATTAATTGTATCTACATTAAATAATGAAATAGGTAGTTTACATGCTTTATTGATAAGGCCATTGATGATAATTTATCTCATAATATTATAATAACAAATACATCATCATACCTATTGAATTTTTATCACTATTGCTCATAATCTATATTATTATCTATATTATCTATATTTGAGTTATGTTATGACACAAAATTATGTATTAGCCATAATAATACTTATTAAAAAAAAGTATATTTACATCCACTTCAAAGTAGTGGTAATACCAATGTTATGGTGTTGCCATATTGTAAGGTGGTAAATTAAAGCGTCTTACAAACGCATGCATCGTTTCTCTATAAACATGTGCGCGTAATGGATGATACAATGTTTTTTTGTCGACATTTAACATTAATTTATATATTTTACTGCATAATTTATGTAATTGGTAGCTATTAAAGTATATACAAGGCCGGATTTCGTAATCATCATATTATAATAAGGTTAAAAAGAGACCGAGCTATCCAAAAACAAAAAAACATTAGGTTCAAAGTCCTTCAATAGAATAAAAGAAAGGAGAAAGAAAGAAAATGCACATCCCTTCTATGAGTGTACAGTTATCCTTATGATAGTTGAATTAATTTTTTTATGAAGTGTAAGTGATTAACATTATTGAAATATTTGCCAGATTTATAAGGTTATATAACTAAAGATTATTCTGGAACGATTTCCCATTCCACATAAAGGTAAAACATAAATTTAATTTTTACGTTTTAGATAAAAAGGTAATGTTCTTTGTTACAGCTTTCAACGCTATTTTCCAAAACTCGGTGTACGGTGTGGCAGCTCGCTTACCGCCGAAATACACAGGCGCTGTGGTACTAGGGTCGAACGTGTGCGGCACCATAGTAGTGTTCATGTCTTGGACATCGGAGTTGTTCGATAGCCGACGTACTTCCGCCATATATTACTTCATCACCGGCATATTTGTACTGCTATTATGCTTCGACACGTACTTCGCTCTGCCTCTCAATGTAAGTTACTTTTATTTTTGTATTATTCATATTTTATTTTTTTCATGTTTGGAATAGTAGTTAATAATCTATGATGTATTGAAGGTATTGAAGCTACTTGCAATGTTTTTTAAAGACCATTTTAAAGAATGAAAAATATATATTTTTCAATATTGAAAATTTTTGCCAAATTTACCATTATTCTTACTTAGGATATTTTTTATGAAAATCATTATTATTGAAAATTATTTTACTTGGGCTGTTTTTATGCTATGCAACAGCATTTTACAGTTGGGTCATTATAATAGTCCACATTTGACATCTCTCAGTCTCAACTTCAAAGTAATCTTATAATGTAGGAAACATCTTAATATATTTTTTTTCAAAATTCTTTGTTATTAAAATACGTTTATTGTCATAATATAAAACTAAAGCAATGTCACGTTTTACTTTGAACAATAAACTTTTCTAAATAATAAATATATTTCATTCTAAACTTACTAAATGCCGTTACAATCTGTGGACCCATTGCCTCTTTTAACAGTAGGGGCGTATCCAAAAAATCGGATTGATTGTTTGGTCTACTCGGGTATGTATTGTATGTATGATTTGATAATTATTTAACTTCTTCATATTGTTTGAAACTTAATGAATATATCGCTATATTTGCAAAATCTTTTAAACACAAAAATATGGACAAATAAATACATAGTATGTAACCCGGTTGGATTTCTAACCACTTGTATAATCGAAATCTTTAATAAATTCGTATACAATTAACTTGGTAAATGGTGTTCAAAATACCTGGTTACATTCAAGAAGGCGTATACACCAAAAGCCATTAACTTTCAATTAGTTTTGTAACATTTGTAAGGAATCTGTCACATGCAAAACGTGAAATCATAAAATTTTCTCTATAGAACCAAATAGCAGTTTCCCCTAAAATTCTCAATTTGCTCTTATTCTTATTGTAATTATTTTTTATTAGGAAAATTGATAAACACGTAAATCATTTAATGACTGATGAAATCATGCAGCAGTAAACAGTAGTTGTCATATGAAGTTTACGAGTAATACATCAAATAGTTTTGACGCGTAATTAATTCCACATCCTCTGTCCCTAACGATTTGCCGTGGGCAAAAAAGGTGTTTTGGATTTATTCACACTCTTTCAGTGTTATTAATAAACAAAGTTAAGCGTTGCAGTAAATTAATACGCTGAGACTGCACTTAGTATTTGTCAAAATTCATATTATAAAACAGAGACAGCAAAGGTTAACCTAGTACGAGGTTGTACGTATTATTTACTCCTAGAAGGTAGTAGGTTTGCTTATTCTCTGTGAATTTTGAGCTAATACCTACTAAAATTGCAATTTTAGCGTAAATTTATTCTGACGTTATACCTTGTTTATTATTATCACTGTTTAAGTTTTACGTTACGCTTAGTAATAAATAATTTGTACGTCATAATCATTTATTATCTGTAATTTTTATTCTGTTGTTCTTGTTTTTGTAAACTAATCTCGAAGTAATATATTGATAATAATCATAAAATTTTTATTATTTTGCGCAAAACTTCATTCGATTCAAATTTTAATTGAAAAAATATCGATTCGTTAAATTCATCTATAATTTTAAGGAGGAGGCCTCACTATCGGTTTTAGATTGATAGAAGTCAGATATGACTTTACTAGTATAGTAGTAGTAACAAAATTTAGATATGTATGGCAAATATTGTATGTAGTAATCAAATGTGTCTTAAATTACACAATGGCTTTCAATGAAATTACATCTAATGGCCGGGTAATAAAGCGGCATATTTATTAATTTCTTTTTATAAAAAATGTGCTTTTGATCATTAATTCACATTCTTTAGAAGCAATAATTTGTTGAATGTTCATATGATGTTGTCTATAATGGATCATTATATTTATTTTCAAATTTATACCCGCAGAGGTTCTATCGCTATCATGACACGCTGCAACAGAGAACGTTACGCGTTAACCCAGCATTGGCTGCCACCAACCAAGTGGCTACTCCAATTAAAACGAAAATCCCATATGGGACAATTTTCCTTCAGGCGTCGGTTCAACTCTACAATATATTCATTGTGTTTTTTGTCTCGCTTGCTATATTCCCCGCTATTCATTCTGGTGAGTTTTATATATTTTTTACTAACTCTTACAAAGGGTTTAGCCGGATACGTATGACGAGTCGGCCCCCAAATGGGAATCGATATTGAAACTTATGTTTTAATATCGACTTGATGTTCAAACACGATTTATGTACTTTTCGCGACCGACTTCCGCTTTGACCTTGAGATAGAGAGCAAAATATCCGTATGCTTGACTATTACTGAATGTGATATATCTCTGAAGCTAATTAAGATAAAGAAGTGAAACTAACGCGAGGTGTTAGGTTACATTACAGAGTATATCACATATATATTTTTTTTAATTTTTAGAATAAAAAATTACATTAAAAAATTAAAATTAAAAAAAACATGTTTTTTTTTTCTGAGTTCTCTGTGACTTACAATCACGAAATTAATATATGTTATGCTCCTTTGTGTGATCTATCACCCATAAAAATTGCGTGAAAAAAAAGTTGGTGCAACACAACGAAAAAAAATTATATGTGATTTCTGTCTTATGGTATACCCCTGTATTATAAGGTTTTCACATAACATCATTGTTTTTTTTTTTCGAAATTTCACATCAGCTTGTTTTAAAATATAAGTAACTAGTCTTAAGAGATGGAATAATAGTTAAAAAAGAAATGAAAAAAACAGCCAGTGTTCAATACTTATTATTATTACTTTTTCGTGTCTATCAAAATACAAGAAACAAAATATTAATCATCGTCACTGTTGTAATTAATTACAATCGGAACACTTTGAGTCGCAAATAACTTAGTTAGTTAGTAAGATTCCTGGTTATAAAAAAATTATAAAGAATGAAGAAGAAGCTAAATCTTACTAACTAACTAAGTTATTTGCGACTCAAAGTGTTCCGATTGTAATTAATTACAACAGTGACGATGATTAATATTTTGTTTCTTGTATTTTGATAGACACGAAAAAGTAATAATAATAAGTATTGAACACTGGCTGTTTTTTTTTTCATTTCTTTTTTAACTATTATCCCATCTCTTAAGACTAGTTACTTATGTTTTAAAACAAGCTGATGTGAAATTTCGAAAAAAAAAACAATATGTTATGTGAAAACCTTATAATACAGGGGTATACCATAAGACAGAAATCACATATAATTTTTTTTCGTTGTGTTGCACCAACTTTTTTTTCACGCAATTTTTATGGGTAATAGAGCACACAAAGGAGCATAACATATATTAATGTCGTGATTGTAAGTCACAGAGAACTCAGAAAAAAAAACATGATTTTTTTATTTTTTATTTTTTTTATGTAATTTTTTATTCTAAAAATTATAAAAAAATATATGTGATATACTCTGTAATGTAACCTAACACCTCGCGTTAGTTTCACTTCTTTATCTTAATTAGCTTTAGAGATATTATCACATTCAGTAATAGTCAAGCATACGAAATATTTTGCTCTCTATCTCAAGGTCAAAGCGGAAGTCGGTCGCGAAAAGTACATAAATCGTGTTTGAACATCAAGTCGATATTAAAACATAAGTTTCAATATCGATTCCCATTTGGGGGCCGACTCGTCATACGTATCCGGCTAAACCCTTTGTAATATACTTCCATTCTTAAAAAACATTATTGAAATACCAACGCCATCTATTCACATGATAAAATAACGCAACGACTGGGTTTTATTCTCGTTGAGAGATGGCGCTGGCAGTATAAATTCACTACTATGATATCGTAGCAAGGAATCGTGCATCGCGCTTACTAAGTTTTTATGGTCGCTAACTATATAAGATGCGTTGAATACTCCTATCGGGAACGACTATATTTCTCGAATAAAAACAGACTAGTTTAGTTATCCCGCTTTCCAACGCAGTGGACAAACCTAGATATGTCGGTATTGTTCATTACTTTATTACAGTGGGTAAATTAATGCTTACTAAAACACACGCTAACTCTATATGAGTTAGTGTGCACCTAAGATTCGCAACAAATCAGTTTTTTGCTATGTATAAAGTTAATATACTAGCTGTTGTCCCGCGACTTCGCATGCGTATATTATAGTCTATGTCGAACCAGTATGATGTAGTTACCCGTAGGTAATAGTTATTTAAGATACGAGTGCGGAAAGTAAGGTTTTACGAATAAGGGCTAAATTCATTGGCACGAATTCGATAAACCTTTTACGCTCAAATTTCTTACAATATTTTTCAATGCATTTTGCGAGGAAATAAAACAAATATATAGGTTAATAAAACTAAGTATGTAATTAAGGTAAAAATTATTTGTTAAAATTAAATGTGATATTTGTACATGTTTTCGTGTCATACATTTTTATTTGAAAATATTCGTTCTAGGCTCCTTGAATTACTTTGGCTCTAAAATTTGTCAATTTTTTTTTACTTTCTTTGGTGCTCGGCCAACAAAAAAAAATACTTTTAAGCATGTGTGCAGTAAAGGATTTCAGTACATTTTTATTTAACACGTGTTTAAAGACTCACTTTCGGTGTTTACAATGGATTAAAAAAATAGCGCTTTATGAGCAACTGCATTGAAAAAGATTTATAAAAGCGGCCCAGTAGTTTCGGATCGTATGCGATGCAAACAAAAGAAGGATCCAATATTTCCACATTAGTATATGATAAATGAATGATTAGGTATTTCGCATATGTCACATCTTGCCTAGACCTGGAATATGGAAATTTTAGATATTTTTCTCAAAAATCAATATATATGTAGTGATATTTTTCTTCAATTAAAGTTTATAGAAATTACAATATAACGTTTTATTAAATAACAAAGAATATACAGCATAAAAAGATTTACTTAAAAATTAATCACATTTTTATGTCATAATTATTTCATTCTATACAGATATCGAGCCTATTCAAGAAGGTTTTCTCGGTGGCAAATTCGTGTTGATCACATGCTTCCTGACATTCAACTTGATGGCTATGTTGGGAAATATCACTGCTAGTCTTTGGCAATTCGTAAGTGTTTTTAAATAACATATTTTTTTGCAATTGTGCCCTATTTTTCGACACTTGTACCATTTTGGTCCGCAGTCGTTGTCGTTAAGCAACTTTCGCTAGGGTCGGTCACGGGATGGGTGACCAAAAAATTACTATCTCGAGCTACTTCGTGCTTCGGAAGGCACGTTAAGCCGTTGGTCCCGGCTGCATTTGCAGTCGTTAATACCCTCCAATCCGCATTGGGCCAGCGTGGAGGGTCATGGCCCATCCTCTTTAACCATTCATAAGGAAGGCCTGAGCCCCTGCAGTGGGGACGTAAAAGGGCTGGTGATGATGATGTTGTTACATTTAATCTGTGAGTGCGATAAATTTTATTTTGTGTACACTTAACAATGTACAACAAAAAATTAGGTACATTCGTTTTCATTTTTTACTTCAGTCATTGAATTCATTGCTTTTAAATGTAATAGAGGATATATGTTTGATCCAAAAAAGGATTAAATATATTTTATAACGAACATTATCTTCTAATAATATTTTGTTTTCGCCAGAAAAATAATTATTAAAAAGTGTCAAAATATGTATAAATGCAAAATACTCAAACGTACTAATGGTATTTGTCAGAGTGGATAAAGTATATGTATAGGGTTACTTAAAGTTGACATCATGCATTAGTAAAACTTGACATCAATGCAAGATCATTAATAATAGTAGCAAAATTAATTATCGCGCCATAAATGATATTATAAATTTATTTTTACTGAATTTTAGTTTTTCAGCACAGGTATTTTACAGTTGTTAACGATTCAAATTATCATATAAAAATATTTAAAATTATTCTGTGGCACTCCAGCCGACACGCAGATGGTTGTGGGTGTTCACCTCGCTGCGTATCCTGTTGATCCCGTTCTTCCTGATGTGCAACTACAAGCCGTCGATCCGCACTTTACCCGTTTGGGTGACCAACGACTGGGTGTACTGGGCAGCCGCTGCGCTGTTGGGCTGGAGCTCTGGACATGGCAGTTCTTTGGGGATGATGTACGTCAGCAGGTAATTCATATTTCCTATATTTCTATAGCTGTTAAAACGACGACGAATTCTTCAGTAAAAAAGTGGTTTGTTAATGTAAATAATGAACACGTTTATTTTTTATCTTTTTTTTGAATACTTACATCCGAGATAAAGAAAAACGGTGTAATATACTCTGAGATTGAAGACCGAATTTTAATGTTATGGGCATCTACAGTTTGTTTACTACATATCAAAATTTTAATAAATAGCAACATATTACTATTGTTCTTTTTTGTACATATGTACTAAAAATAAACATACATAATTTAACGACATTAAAAAAGGAAAAAATGTGAACCGATTAAATACTTACTATTGTATAATAATTTTACTTATCCCACTTTCCAACGCAGTGGACAAACCTAGATATGTCGGTATTGTTCATTACTTTATAACAGTGGGTAAATTAATGCTTACTAAAACACACGCAAACTCGATATGAGTTTGTGTGCACCTAAGATTCGCAACATATTCAGTTTTATGTATCAGAATTTTTAAAGAGAAATTATATCCGTTTCTGTGAGAATATTGTTTGTTGGAAAAGGTAATGCTTTTAGCTATTATTCCCTTTTTTCACCAAATGAAAGTATGAAAACCTATTTGCAAGACTGAATTAAGGCCCTAGACTGAATTAATGATCTTAAATATAAATATTTGTTATAGTACGGTAGCGCCCGAGCACGCGGCCACTGCTGGTATGATAGGCGCGGCGACACTAGTGACGGGCATCCTGGGCGGACTGCTGTTCACACGTCTGGGGCCCGCATTAGTGACGCTACCCTCCATCTAGCGGCTGCGGGCCCTGCTCCAAGCTATATACGCACTCCTGGCCGCGCTTTGACCGGACCAACTCATCGACACCCCTGACGATACCTAGAGGACGTAAGCTAAACGAGCCTACTATAAAGTTCCAGATGATTTCGAAACGTTCTTATGATTTAAAGAAAATTTATATGTTTCAAAAGATGTGTAATGATGTTTCGACATTATAAGAAATTTCGTTGATGGAAATATAGAGTAGGCTCAGTTTTGTCAGATGATATGTGTCCGTCTGATTGTGAATAGTTTATAGATTCACTGTTCTGATTATTTAGTTGAAGATCCATTGAAGATATAATTTTAAATAGCACATGACTATCAAATCAGTTTTGGAGATTTTGTGGTATAAATATTGATTATATTTCAAGATTATGGATAAAAGGTTATTCACAAATATTGTTAAAAGTATAGGAACAGGAATTAATAAACTATCCTGATGCAGTGACGGACCTTATCGTCAAATTAATAAATCACTGATCCTCTATGTAGCTATCGTAGGTGTGAACTCGATGAGAGTGTGATGTAATAGTGAATCTGGTGTGTAACAAGTGCCAGGATAAAGACTATTTCTTCCGAACTAGATGAATTATTGTGGTGAAAATACATTGTAAATGTGTCTGTGAGCTTTTTCAACTGCACCATCATTGATGACGAAACTGAATTTCGGAGTTTTGACGTATAAAATGACAGTGTCATATAAAATACATATTGTATTTTTGACAGCTGGCTGTTTTCAATTCGACTGTTACTGCCAAATATGTCAATGCTATAATAAAGTATTTGAATTTATCTAATTGTTAGATTAGTTCAGTTACTAGTAAAATGTTGACATGTTTATGAATTGATACATATAATATGAGAATTCCATGAAGAAATATATGCCAATGTCATTGGTTTCTAATAGTGATGATGTTCCATGTAATTTTGTCTGTACATACAGTATGAAAATATGTAATTATAATACAAAATGAGCGCTTTATGTTTATTTTGTGTATTTGAAATGGTGCGATACATTAAATGGTTCCGAAATAAACTATAGTATCTAATATATAGAGACCATGTTTTATAAAATACTAGTGATGTTAATATATAAGTTTGACGATCTTGCCGCCAATGTTATCTAGGTAATTATATAAAATATATCTAGCATTGGTTAATACTCTAATGGTTTTAATGATGACATTTGATGAATTTCACCATTCACTAACAGGATGGATTATTCTAAGCTTACTTTTTACATCTTTCATTTGCTCATCTTTTAATTTTCAAAATATATCTTCTTCATTACTTTTTTTAAGACTTAAAACCTCTTGATAGTGGTCAGTGTCATAGTGACCATACAAATAACTTCCATACTCATGAGATGTTGTGAATATAAAGACGGTACCTTATACGGAATAGTATCATTGGAGATTAAGCTTTATGCACAAGGTATAGTTACTAAAATGTAAAAATAGGATAGACTTATACATGAACTGTACACACAATTTATATATGCAGTGGATGATATTATATACTTAATAATACGACAAATTTATTGTTTTGCTTGTATTGTGTTGCACAATAATATTTAGTATATATATAATATGCATTTACCTAATGTTTATTGAGGTTCGGTCATAATGTTGTATTTTGAATTAACTTTATGTATGAAGCTGTTTGTAGGTGTATCAGTAAATTTATAGCATGCTGTTAATGTTTGTAATTTGTAAAGAATTTATATAGTGGCTAGTAAAAAATGTATGAGATGCGCTGATATTATATTTCCCATTGAAACTTTTTTTACTTTTATCACTCATGTCGTCATGTTTCTGCTTTGTTTACACATCGAAATAAGGTAAACGTTTTATTAATATTTTTCTTGAGGGTTTGTTTTTAGTGTAGGTAGACAATTTTAAAATTCTACTAACACCTTATTGATTTCCTCAAAACTTTGTATGTTAATTACTTAACAAAAATAACTGTTGTATAGCTAGATACGGAAATTATTATTACTTTACAAAATTATACTCATTTCGATAGACATCTAAAATTAACTTGATTAGATTTAAAGTATATTAAGATAAACGTGTCAGTATAAATTTAATTTTTACACATCTGACATTTCCACACAGTAAAATATATTGAAGGTTAAAAGGTCAGATAGTTAATATATTGGAGGTGCCTTTATTATTTGAATGTTTTGTTGCAAAGGTCATGTTGACGATAAATTGATTTACAAAGTTTAATGTAGGATTGACAGACTGAAAACACTAACACTGTTTCTTTTTAAGTTATTGTAGTTGGATATCTAATATTTATAGGTTTTCTTATTGGTTGCAGTGTCTTTAGTATATATTTTTTCATCCCATTTATTGCGTACAAAATGTATGTAAGAATATTTTATAGAGTTAAAACATGTGTTAAATTCTATACTATTTTTACATATACTTTGTGTTAAATAATCAATTTAAATGGTGCGTTTTTTATCTGTTATGTTTTTACGTCGTAAATAGTATAGAATTCAATAGAATCCGCCCTTATAGGGATGTTTTTTAATTCGGTGCAATATTGAAATTATCATTTAATAATTTACATATAACCATCATTTTAAATCATAATTATTAAAATAAAATATCTCAATCATTATGATTCAAATTGTTAGTTTTTGCAACTATTATCCGGCAAATTTCTGTTATGTTAAGTGAACTGTGCTGCATGTTAAACTGAGCCTGTAACTTAACCTGCCTTAATTTTTTTTTTGTTATATTGTACAATATATTTATTAACTTAATGCACATCATTATGTGAGTGTATATAGTTAGACGACTCTGTGACGTCATCCTTAGACATGTGTTCAAATCCCTAAACCAAATATTATTTTCAAAATGACAGTCGAGAACAAAGACAAACATTTTAAATATTAGTTGGCGTTGTTAGGATAGTGCTTAGTAAACTTTTTTTTAATCAACTTTTGTTCTTTTATTTTTCCTTTGGAATGAAGCATTTATTACTTAAGTTTGCACCACGAAAGAATGCCTGCGACTTTTATAGACATTTTAATAAGAGCAATATTAATTGTATATCTTTTTCTATAATAAATAACTACAGAACTAATTAATGAAATAAATCATTCAATCATATATATAGTTGCTGATAAAAACTAACAGGGCGCCGTATTGAAGGTAGTCGGACTCCGGAGATATCTTTTTATTCGCGCGAATAAAATCTGTTACTATTTTCAGCTTAATTTAAAAACAAGAGTAGTTACTTGTCGTGAGAATTAACATGATACCTGAAGGCCTGTTGTATTTCTCCTAAACGGAAACGTTTTTTCCGAAATGCTTGTACGACTTCAAAGAAACACATTATTCGATAAGTCTATGATGCTAATATTGCCTCTGATGCAGTAATGTCCACGGATATAGTTTTAAAGAATGATTCGAAGTTTTCCGTATTTTTGATCCGAGTACAAGTGGAATAGGCCCTCGGTATCATGTTTCGTACGAGTTATACTTATTTGCTTTGAAATTACATACGATATGGTCCCTCGCATTTTGGATGTGCTTATGTAAGACTGATTCATACGTTATCCAAAGTTCAGCTGCCTTTTTTTTGTTTCAATTTATACCTTTTGTGTAGTCAAGGTCAAATATATAGATACAAGTTTTTTGACATTATGTGCACTCATATATAAAATTGTTTTCTATTAATTGCATATAAATATGTATACACAATGTTGGAAACATCAATATGTAGTTCATGGGTATCACAAATTTATGTGTTCAATTTAGGGTATATCAATTTGTTTACAAGTTACTTACTTACCTATTTATGCCTGCGCAGTATTATGTAGTGTGTATATGATTGGTTTCGCGTGTCTCATCCGTGGTTTGGTGCCACCACCACGGATTGGTTTGGTGCATTCCGTACTGGGTCCACGTGTATGTCCCAATGCGAATTGGTGGCGCTAAAGCACGTATATCCTTAATGGATAAAACCAATCCACCGAGCATTCCTTATTGTGTCCGCGTGAAGGTCTCAATGCGGATTGGTGGTGCTAAAGCACAGGATATTCTTAATGGATGGAACCCAAATACGCCGGTCACTGGGTCGGCGTATTACAGATTAATAGGCCCGCGTGATTGTCCTATGTCACTCCGCCAAAAATAATTTGATCACCCATCCGATTACCGGCCTTTGCGATCGTCACTTCACCTCCGCAATCACACATCTAACGTGATAACCACTAACATTATAATTCTTGATGATCAGTTTGGCCCTTTGATTATCATGTGGGTATATGTTTATGATTATGTGGTTGTTTCGAAGTTAATGAGGTACCTATGGATATATATTATTGCAGTTTGGATGGTTACATTTTGTGGCAACTTGAGGTGTATATGTCGCAGCTAAGCGGTATAATCAGACGACCAGTAAAACGGCTAGCCCTTTAATTGAATTGCGTTATTTAATTAATGGGCTGACTCGAGCAGTCGAATAGCTGAACACATCGTTCTACAATACGACCGCAATGGTCAGCCATTTTTGTTATTCCCAATGAATTGATAGTTAATTATTGTCAATTAATTACTGTAGATTCGTCGATAATAATAAAATTTATTGGTGGGATTATTATCGAAAGAAGTAGTATCGAAAATAAGAGTTAGAAATGTATTTGACTACCCTTGCTTTCTTTAGAGTGTTTATTACGATTTCGAAGTTTGGTGCTACAATAGTTAATAACAACATAAAATGTTAAACTGCGAATTTATTTTGGTCTTGTAGGTCACGTGATAGGTTTGAAGTCTTAAATTTCGATGTAATTTTTTAAAAGATAATAAAACTAAATCAGCCGTCTGTTGTCTATCAGTGATAAACGGTCCAAATGTCATAATGATTCAATTTGAAAACTAGGCATGCAATTGAATGGCGTCATTCAATTAAATGGCTACTCGCCTAATTGAAGAGCTGTTTCAACTATTTGGCTGCGACACATATATCTATCTGACCTTGACAGTACAATCGGGAAAATTGGCGGTCTACCGGTGTTTAGAATCGACCCGGGGAAAGTTTTCAAAATATGTGTATGTTGACTTGACGTGCTTTTGTTTATGACCCGGCACTTCATATCTTTTTCACTCGTACGTAATCGCTTTTTCGCTCGCACAGATGCTTCTTGCCAATTACGTCATAGTAAAAAGTGAACCTAAAATGTTTACGATATCTATCAGTTAGTAGACGCAAAGGTCAACGTACAGAATTCTTTCTGTTCGGCGGCCATGCTATAGTGCTTTCTTATGTTATTTTACATAGAACCCGGTGCCTTATACATCTTTCATTCATTTTATGTATTTATAGATTCGTAAATTGGTCTTTTGTGTAGTGCTAGTGTGAATTTATAGCATTTGTCATATACATAGGAAAGGAAATTTCGCAAAGGTTTTCTTATTCAAGTAAAAAAATATATTAATAGGTATATTTTTTTATACCTAACCGACACCAAACACAATATCCTATGACAATAAAACTAATGAAAAATTTAAAATGCCATTTTTATAACCGTAGAAAAGTAATCAAATTACTATTTGAAGTATAAATTAATATAAGAATTTCTTTCTTCAGATACTTACCTACAAGTAATTTAATATCTCCCATCGTGCATTTTTATATAAATAGACATTCAGTTTGCATGATTCTTATAAAGTAAGTGTACATAAATAACAAGCGAAATCTTTCTCTAATATATACATATACAATTCAAATATGTGTCCGTCAGACCAGCAGCGCCATCCTTATCGATGTTGAATGTCAGTCTGCGACTTATTTGTTTACGATTTCGATGATTAACTTCATCTTTCACTAATCACTTGAAGTACCTTATGAAACGCACTCCTTAGCGAAGGCTGTGAAATAATAGCTTTAACCTTTCCACTGTAGATACCTCACTTTGTAAAGCTAACCTCAATAGATTAGGATATACGTGTGTAGGTAATAGTTTCCTATTTAGAATTTGCTCATTCAGATAAACACAAAGGGATAGACATAACCACGAAGCAGATACAAAGAGAAGGCAGTAGTATAAGTATATATTTTTAACACAAGGGAATGCAAGCTATAAACTAGGGCTCTCCGACCCTGCACTCGTTCTGAGAAGGACATGTTTAACCGAGGCCGGCCTACCTGGTAAGACCCGCTGCGCGTACTCTCTGGGGAGGACCCGGATCCCGGGTCCTGTAGTAGTACCTTAATCGGCTGTGTATTATTCAATTCTGCCTTAACGTTATTGTTTGATGGAGCATTTATGTTCTTGCAGCGAAGGCTCAATGAAATAAATCATCAAAAATCACAACAAAGAAAACACTAATGCAGGTATACCGATTAAAGAGTCTAATTTTGCTAATGACAAAAATAATCCTTAGGCTCATATTCAAAGAATAAGTATTTTTTTTAAGATACTAAATTTCTAAGGTCGAATTTTGATGCCAACACATTTATATCTGCTTCGTGTATATAACATTCACTTTCAGAAATCTGTCCGATGTCTTCCAACCTCTTAAGTTTAGCCTACCAAATCAGTTGTGTCATGAAACAACTCTAGTGATCAACTAAATTTCAACACATCGTTATTTTACAAGACCTTATTAAGATTATTCATGAAAACTGTGAAACGAGAGTTAATGGTATGTCGAAATTTAGTAAACCTTAGGGGCCGTCCATTAATCACGTGAGGCTCCAGAGGGGGAGAGGGTTCGAATATCACGATTAGGCGGGTCTAATAATATATCACGTGTATTTATTTTTGCCTCAAACACGCGATTAAACTGAAAAACCGACAAAAAAATTAAGATTTTTTTGTGGGTACTAAAAATAGTGGAGGGCTCACCCTAGCAGCTAGGCTTAAACTTCATGTATCACAAAGGGGCAGGGGGGTAAATGCTGAAAGAACTACACTTGATTAATAGACGGCCCCCTTAAAAGTCAGTAATATTGCAATGCTTCGCTTGATAAAGTAGAAAATTGCTAAGGGTTTGAGTCTCGGAAATAATTTTGTACCTACTAAACTTATAACTACAAAATTTGTTTTTAACAATCAAGATTATAACACTGTATTATCTTTTATCTATCCCTATTATTAAAGTTAATTCTCCTTTTAATTAAGCTCTAGTACAAATTGATGTCCTTTTAGAATCCGAACTATTTCATTTTATAAATTCCCTTTTAGAGGTTGTAGAGTATTTTTAATGTAGCGTCCTTGTAAATAAGCGATTATACAGTATTTACAAAATTATCTTCATTCTTATTATACTATATACGTATAAAACATTGTCAAGTGTTATAATAATCGTTGAGATATGACTAAAAGAGTGTTGTACAACTCTTATATCGGAATAGGTTTAAAGAAATTTATATTTATTATAGAGTAAGGAATTGAAAATATGAAATAATATGCAACCATTTTTTACCAAATTTTGCGTTACTAAAATTATTTAATGAAAAATTATCTTTAATTTACACCCAATTGTACAAACAGCCATTATGGTTTATAACGACGTTAGCTCTAATAAAAGATCTTAATTTGAAATTTTGAATCGGTAATGTCACTTTAAACCAGGGTTCCCAAAAATTTGATATTTAGTCGATATATATTATGCTTTACTTAATATATGATCTTTTAAAATTCCGTAATTTCTAGTAAGATTGCTACTTCGGGCCAATGTTGCCAGCGTCACACCGGGTTGATTAATTTTCAATACTCAAACGAACAATAAAATAAACATCAATTGATATATATCAACGTATATATCAACGATATCTTTACCTATCATGATATTTATAAGCAAACCCTGCTTTAATTTAATTACACTATTGATGGATGTTTTTGGAACTGGGTGGCGAGGCGTGCCTTGGAGGGGCCCTGTATCAACATTAGTTGTGTTTATTATTAGTTGGCCCATATGAAAGGTAAAAAATTTTGCTTACACATGTTTGGGGGCCCTGTAGCCCGGGTATACGGTTGATCCGGTAGTAGCTACGCCCCTGGTTCTAGGGTTTTTTTCTTTCATAATCCATCATATTTTGTCGTAGTTGCCTATATTAAGTTTTAAAACAAGTTTAGGGGATTTAGCCAGTTGCACATTAAAAAAATCATTAGTTAATATCGACATTACCCATACAAATTTGTCATTCATAAGAGCTTAAAGGCGTCATTAAACCTTAATGGGCGTTTGTGCAACTGGCCATCTTCGAAATCTTCTCCAGAGGGTCCACGACATTTTACCGATGTTATACCGGTATTTAGTTTCATTTGACTACTGTGAAATGAACTCTAAACCATAAAGTAATAAACTGCCGTTTTTTAAATAACAAAGAACGAATTCACCAAAAAACATGTAAAAGGAGTAAAATGAAACAAAATACCAAAGTAACAATCAAACTGCCATTAAAATGTTTGAAGTAGGTTTTTCTGTGGCAACTTTGCCACTTTATATAAAATATTTTTCATACTTAATCTTAATATACCTACTTATCTTAATAATCTAATTAAATTCACCGAATTCTATTATCTAATATTCAGATTCAATATGTACGATTGACTTTTTCCGAAAAATCTAACATCTTTGACAATAATATAAATAATTAAGACCATTTAAATTCATATTTTTCCACTTTTCAATATTACACCTACTTACTTACATTTCTAAACTTTTCTAATATCTATACTACCTATACTTAAATAAATCATAATGTAACACTTTTACATAATAATCTTATCATCCGGTATGTAATCAACTTATTTCAATAAAACATAAAAGAATGTTTTATGTATTTTATTTTAAAACTATTTTTTCATATGAAGTCGAATCGATGGTATCCGAACGCAATACTTAAATCGTTGAATTTGTGCTGAGGCTATTACCGAAGAATTTTGAAAAAACAATTATATTTTATTAAGTACGGAGAGAATTTTTAAATTGGTATAGTTTTTTGTGTTTTCATTTCTTGCTGGTGGTTAAACTATATTATGTTATTCGAAGGTATAAGTCGTATATTTTATATATTTTGTTATTATGCCATATATTACACACCCTTTTTTATCTACAATTCATGTTCATTTTATTAGTATAGGAATTATGTCTGTTAATCGTGGTAGTACTGCGACAGAGTACCTGTCATACGCCGCGTCTCGCGTGTTGTAGAAACATTACGGACACAAGTGGCGCAGGATAGATATAATTCTGGCTTAAGTACTGTATCTAACGCAAAAAACATACTTCCTACTGTTCAAAAGAGGAAATATCATTAATCTGATGGATTTAATGTAATATGATTAATTGATTTCTTAAAATTTCACGCGCACTATCTATAAATGAAACCACTTTTAAACGGTTATATTATTATTGTTATAAAAAACTGATGATGCATAAATAGGTACTAGGTGGGAATGAATCTTAATGGAAAAGACGAACAGTTGAAAATCGACACATTTTATTCCGTTCATTAAATAAAATAAATAACTTCAATAAATAACCAGCTCTACTACTCTAGCCGTATCGTTCGTGAATTCTATTTACATGGGAGCATAATAGTACTATCAATAGGTGGGTGAAGATGATGATGATGACGAGGTAGAGATTGATGAGACGCTTGAGTAGCTCGGCGACTGGTTGGAGGCGGCTGATGCGTTGGAATCGCCGGGGAAGTAAGAGCTATAGGCTAGTTGGGAAGGATCCCATACGCGAGCGTACGGTCCAGAGCTCGCTGGCTCCCATTGAGGACCGTAGGTGTCTGCGGGGGCGGCGGGTGTCGATGGTGGCCCGTACTGGGATGCTGGTGGGCCGTATTGAGGCGCGGGCGGTGCAGCTTCCGTGGGCATCATCATTGGCATACCTGCAATTTGAATATTCATTACTTAGTGGACGGAGACAGATTAGTGGTCCCTATTCGATGTTGTAATACCCGTGATCTGGGCATCAATAATATGGATATTCCATGTATTACAACTAAGTATTTTGGTTCTATACTTGTTTAAAACTTGTGAATGAGATAAACGGTACAACTGTAAATTGCTTTTAGATGAGCGGTCTTTTATATTTGACGGAAGGTTACTTCTAATTTTGTGGTCGGTGACATTAGTGATATTTATGAATAAAATGTGTTATAGGTATTGTCCGAAGAGAACGCTTTCACTTATTGTCTAGCATATCTTTTTATTGTCATAATTTTTTACTCTACTGTTAGGAATTTTGGAAGAATGATTTATACATGAGAACTGCATTTAATTTTATTTTACCTCCTTTCTTCATCAATAAATTATAGATGAGGAATCCAAGGACAAGCGTAATGGCTAGCTTGCTGAGGATAAGTGCTTTCACAGCCTTGATGCCGATGATAGCGACTAGGATCGGCATAAGAGCCTTCATCTTCAGCTTCAATAGGAGAAGAACTGGCAGCAGCAGTTTCTTCTTCAATATGCCACGAGCTAAAAAGAAAATTCTCATTAATAGAATTTAGGTAATTACTGTAAAATTTAATTCGAGATAATGGTTACCTTCTCCATTTTCGCTTTCAGTTTCAGGGAAGTCGATGTCGAAACCCCTGTCCGCTCTGTAGGACACTTCAGCACTCTGGAAAAGGAACTCCGGAAGTCTGAATCTGAATTCATTCTCGTTTAAGACCCGACCGACACGATCGAAAATAACTTTGTCGATGTTCTTTTCGTCGAGCGCCCGTGCTGATTCAGAGGTCACTCCCAGCTTGGTGTCCAGGAACGATAGAACTTTCACTTTGAGACATGACGTCGAGGAATCAGCTCCGAAACAATCACTAATAACACTATCCAATAAGTCGTCACTTGTGTCCAATCTCGCCGTTTCTACCTCATTGTCTTTTATGGAATAACCGTTTGCTAAAGCCACGGAAACTACGATTACAAGCCACTTCATTTTAATAATTTTCACTTTGTCATCAGATTTTATTAATTAGACGTTCAGCCCGGTCGGTTAATGGAACAACAATGATTTAATTTTTCAATGGGCTTGGTTTTTATACGTGGTCCTTTGGGCGGCTAGGCACGCGGTTGTGTGCGCGTGCGACGCATAGTAAGAGCTCTCATACTTGGCAAAGTATTTATTTTCATTTAAGAAAGTCCTGAGTGGTGAGAGTAACTATTATAAACTTATTATTTTATTAAATCAATATTATTGATATTTTTATTAATAGTATTTCTTATTGACCAGTGTTGACATGCAGATAATATTCTAATTAAATACGACGACGACGACTACGAGTATTATTCCGAAAGTATGAAATTGTATTGGAAAAGTGTCCCAGTAGTTTAGTAATAGTTTTTCGGAAGTTTCAGGTATATTTATGAGGAATTCTTTTAATTTTTGTTTCACCTATCAAAATAAAATAAACATTAGGGAAGTTCTTTTGTTTTGGATGGTAGTAATTTTACGACAAGCTTCTTGGTGGTATTTTAATGAGTTGTTATTATTTAGTTGGCTTTAAGTGGAACTAAGTCCTATCCTGAAGTTGAAAAAAATTACCATTCGTTTTTTATGTGAAGCTATAATATATTTGTCTTAGGCTGAAGGGTCATATTGAATGTTTTTTTTAAATAAAGGGTGTGGTTAGCTTTGTGCGTTCGCTCTACGATGCGGAGGTTCATCATAGCTCGTTATAAGATTGGTAACCAAAAATATAATACCTCCATGATTAGCAGACGAGTCTTTGGATATTTTCTGAACAAACCACTCTATTGATTGGTATATTTTGTTAATTTATTCTCTAATTTCTAATAGATCTCTGTGTACACATAGTTTTCTTTAATTGATTATAATATTTCTGTTTAATAGTCGATTCCAATTAATTTTAATTTTAATTTATGATTTCTTGATGTTTTGTTAAATAAATAATTATTAAAAGACCTTTGTGTGATATTAGCAGAGAATATTAGAAGACACGACAAAGTGTTCTATTTAAAACTTTAGTACCTGAATGACTGAGCTTTACTTGGTACTTATTTGGTAAATGAAACCTAGCTAAATCGATTTATCGCCCTGCAGAGGCTCTGCATACTAATTGCCATGAAAATTGTTGAAGCCGTTTCCGAGAATCAGAATATAATACAGAAATTGCTCGTTTAAACGTATTTATAAAAAAAAATATTGGTAATATCAATATAAATCTTTAATGAAAATACACATAAAAATAAATGTTTATTTAATATTATAAATTATTATTATTCCTTTTCCCAAATTCTTCAAATATTGTGATTACTTGCAACAATAAAAACACAAAAGTGCCAATCACGCGAGATCCCGAAACTGGCGAGATATCGCGAGATTGCGGTACTGATATTCATAAACTAGCGCGATCCCGCACGAGCTCCAATCTTGCGAGATTGCATTCCATAGATATATCATTTTATCGGAATCATAAGTACATAAATGTGAATCAATGATATTATTATCTAAGCTTTGTGTATTACTAATACGAGTTAATAAAAAGTTATGTGATTGTATGACAGTCTTTCCACAAGCCTCCTAATTACACCCACCCCAAATCAGCTACCGCCGAGCTAAATGCTAAATTAAAATATAAAACAAAATATTTTCAATTGAAGTCGACAAAAGTGGTTATGACGTGGTTATGACTAAATTATATATAATTTGGTAATTAAAAATTTTTCTAAATAAAGTCTAATTTTTGTGTAATTTTTGAATTGGAAAAAAGATGCGAAAGAAGATCTCGGTAATCCAAGATTGGAAACTCTTATTCATATATTTATTGATGGTACGAGTACTTTGAAAAATACCTACTTATTAGATAACGTATACTTATATTTTTTTTGAGCTAAATTTTAGTAGGAAAAATCGGGAAAAAGTGCATTTAACATGCATGTTCTTCTTGAAATCAAAGGTCTGGCAACTATATCATACGCAGGTGATATTACAATTTACGCAGGCGAGGCCGCGGGAAATCAGCTAGTATGGTAATGACACGGACCGTTTTTCTTGTGTAAACACTTGTAATTCAAATTAATCAAAAGTTGTCAACTATTACAAAACCTTGGAATCAATTCATATGATAGCATCAGACGCAAGACTTGCATACAATTCTTCACAAACAGCGCGGCGAGCCTGATTTATGGGTACCGGTTTGTTTGGTTGATCGCACGCACCGAGCAATTTAACATATACTGGCACATTACACTAATACCAATTGATTTTACGCTATAAAACGTATTTTAAATAAAGCAACGAAAATTATATCACCTATTCAAACAGTAAGGAAATATGGGACCATGTACACATTTAAGTCTTTTTTTTTAAATTGATAATTAAAGATATATTAATCAATCACTTATTATTACCTAAAACACAAATGCCTTTGGCCCCTTATTTAAAAAATCAAAGACAATAACTTGTAAAATAAATGAATGGATTGAATTTTACCACTAAGACGCCTGCTAAAACTACGAAACTTGACATAAAAAAGATAAGGCAAGGGGGGTAAGGGGTTGTACCCAGGACAAGAGGCCCGAGGCGGAAATTTTATAATATTGACCAATAAGCAGGTATTACAATAACTCTTAAAATTGAGAGGCGTCATACTGTTGCATCGAAATAGGCGTCCAATTCTGCTTACTGTCTGGTTGCTAAACCTGACGCTGATTCCTAAATGTCTTTTTGACACATGGATGTCGATATGAAATCCTCCTAAAATAAATAGAGAGAATCAAAGAAAGAGAAAAAAAAAAACAAAAACAAAATAATTTAAAAACAGTAGCAAACGGAACAGTCAGACAGTGTGGTAGCTCCATACATTTACATTTATCTATACTGATATTATAAGGAGAAAAGGTTTGGTTGTTTGTTTGCATCGAAGATGCTCTGAAACTACTGCACCTATCTTAAAAATACTTTCACTTATCGGTTACTATATCATACGCGGTTAACATAGGCTATAATTTACGCGTACGAAGTTGCGGAAAAACTAGCTATTAAATAATAAGCTGGCCTTAAACATATCAATAATGTAAACTAAACGACAAAACTTCCATTCTATATCAGCCATCAAGTTTCAACCTAATTTGGCGAATATTTATATTTCAAAGCTTTGGTATATATAATAAGGGGTCGTCCATTAAGCACGTGATATCTTTTTTACTTTTTGATTTTCTCATTTTTATGTCGTGATCCCCGTAGAAATATTTAGAAAAAAAACGGTGGATGTTATTTCATAATACTTATTTGGGATCGTGAGCAATTTATTATATTGGACAACGTTAACGTTAAAAGAAATATCTAAAGTACTCATATTATGGAAATCTGAAACAACGAAGATCCAACCAACTCTGATACTATATAGAAAAGTTTGTTTTCTATATTGATACAAACGCAATCGAATTCAGGACTTCAGAGATGGCAACATATTATACCGGCATGGGAACCACTCGATCATGGAGATCGTCAAATTTGGCCGGTTACCCATCCGAATTCCGTCCTTTGTAGAAATCGCTCGTATGCTCCCATTACGCTATAAACTACTTGCTAAAACAGCAAATACTACAACTAGGTCTTCTTTGTTTTGACGTGATGTAATGTTATCACCAATTTGTGTCTGAAAGTGAAATTTGCTCGCATTTAACAAAAAGCTCGCGTGTTACTTATCCAATCTTCATTATGCAATAAGGGTAGACGCCATTTTGTATGCGCACCGCGTCTGCTGCCAGCCGCCACCGACCATGTCCGGATTGTGAAATGACTGTTTCACTTCCGTTACAGCTTCTAATGTCGAATGATTAAATTTAATTAAGTATTTGTATTAATTGATTATCGAAAATATTATTTATTGTGGCTTGGCTTTATAGTCATTTTTCCAATTTTATAATGAATAATAATGTCAATTTTTCAATTTGACTTCACTGTATCAAAAAACAAGGAGAAAAGCCATAGCTGTGTTTCATTTCGGTTCGTCTCATTACAAGGTTACGATTTTCATAAGTGACTGTAACAGTCTAACATATCGTATTTTGAAATTTGTCATAGTAAAATACCAAAAAAGATACAGTGATTTTTTACTATATAAGCGAGTGCTCTTTCATTTTGACAGATCGACTGTCAGCAGACCAATCAGCTATACTATTCTTTAATATAATTGGCGTCGAACTGGACTCGAGCACAGCACTGTCACAGCATAAAGGTTCAATGAAATAAAAACTTAATTACCTTAATTTTGGTTTTATTTGATTAAACATCATAATTTTGCTTTTATTTGGTTAGTCGATTTCCCATTTTCACTTTGATATCCTCCATGGCAGAGCGGTTCCTACCTTGGTTTCATTGTATATTTATGTCACTATCTTAGAGGCCCGTGTTCGTTCGATACTACAAGGATAAATGTAAAAAAAAAACTTAAAAAAACTATTTTGTTTTGTTTAGGGTTGTTTTGTATTTAGTTTTTGGAATTTCCAAAATACAAATACTTTTACTTATTTCACTTCGAAACAAAGCAACGTAAGTGACATTGTTTGATTTGATAATATAATAGGATAATAGGATAGAGTAGGATTAATTTGAGTTAAATGTTTTATATATACCTAATCTATTACTATCAAAATATATTTTAAGACAAAGGGCAATACTAATAATCAAAGGGGAAATACGTTACGCATACACTTAACCTGGGGGTCAGCGGTCAGAGTCTGTCCTGCGGACCCACCTCCCTAGTAGGTCAAATAGAACTCTATGAAGTCCATCTCTACGGCAGATGATGAACGGTAACAGCTAAGAGTTCTGACAATCCCGTTCGTCCTCATATGTTTCCATAAATTCTTGGTTTATTAGATGTGTTTTCCTAAATTATATAAGTAAACAATAGTAGTTTCTATTCAAATGCTGCGGTAACATTAGACGTAGTCCCATCAATCAATCTCTCACCTGGCTGTTTTGTGATCGCCATTTCAATTACTATGCTTATGGCATAAATTTATTATTTAAAATTTTGTCTAGGCAATATTGATGCAGTTTTTCTAGTTTTAAGATTTATTTGTACATACTCTGTTATACTTAAATATATTAATTTTCTTCAGTACAATCACTGAAGCAAATTAATAAATTTACTTAAATTCTTACAGTAAAGTAAAAGTAATTAATGTGAAAAGCTAATAATATATTAATAGTATTCTAACTTTTGATGATTCTTACTTCCTTCAAATTCTTGTTTATTTGTTGATAATATTTACTTTAGTAATACTTTTACCTATTCAAGCAAATATTTCTACGCGTTTATATTTTTAAGACTAAAATAAATTTTATTATTTAAAAATTTATACCGTAACGTGTAATATCGAAAACAAGAACAGTTTTTGGATGTGATTAAATATGAATAAACCATAACATAGTCGCGTATCATTTACCTGTCCGCCTCAAAAGGCGCGGTTTACCGATTAATATATTTTGTTAAAGGTGCGATGGCACTTTCATTCTATAATAAGCGTCATAATATCTCGGTTACGGGTTCGAATCCGTGCTAATGTGTCGCTAGTGGGTCAACGGGCAGGTGGCATGCATTTCTCGGTGCCATCCTGAGTGCCCTGCGGAATTACAATTAAGAGTGCCATAGGGTTCTATACTACGCCCGATTTTACTCGCTCATAGACATACACTCGGTTTCTGAATTGAGAATTTAAGTTTAGCACGTCTTAAACAGTGTTTAAACAATCTTAAACGTCACTTAAAAAGATTTTCGTTTCCAATTTTAATATCGTTAATGTGAAACGTAAAAAACGTTATTGAGAACAACCTTATTTGTACGATCAGGACATATTGATTTTCAATAGGTATCTACAAAAAATATTATACAGAGGCAAAGTTTTTTACTTTGTTACTTCCGAAGATTACGGAACAGAAATTGAAAATACCGATCAGATCTTGAAAATTCTTTCACCTCCCGGAAGCTACATCATACGCGGGTCACATAGACTATAATTTACGTGGGTAAAAGCACTGGAAAGGAGCTAGTATAAAAAATAAAACAAGTACAGCTTAGTAGATGCCTATAAAGTGTACCGCAGATCGCAATGATACAAAGTGGCGAAAGCTCAATTATATTTTTGCATGACAAGCAAACCGCTAATTTTCAGTTGCAAACACTAATAATAAGATACAATTAGGCCTTTTTCTACCTATTAAATTTAATACTATGAATGAATACTAAGTTATATAACTTTAAAATTAGTGCACTTCATTGAAGTAGTTCATTTGGCCAGCGACGCGAAGGTAAATAAACTTTTAAAGCGAAGGTAAAAAAGGACAAACTTTTCGCGATGTTCGGTCATAAAATGGGTGACCCAAAATTTTATCATTCCGAGGCCATTGGGAACCAACGGCTTACTGCTTACTTTTATATTATATTTGTGTTTAAAAGGGGTTAAAATATTTGCATGGTGTTATGTCATTAGATTATTGTAGAAGAATGGAAAATTAACCATTATATTGTCAAAATCGATGTTGATTTCTTTTCAGCTTCAACTTAATCATTCAAGGCTTTTCTTGTGTGTAACTCCAATCACCCAATAACGGTCGTAAGATCTTCAATTGATCAGATTTTATAGACATTGTCACTATCGGGAGATATTCCAAGAAAATCCTGCAGCAACACTGATGCTTCTTCTTCCAATTCAATGTTATTTCTGGAACTAGCATCCTTGAAACAATTATGTATGGTTTCAGGCTTAGGTAGGTAATCGTTTCCTGTGCGAAAACAGATCTCATAGAATTAAATGACCTCATAGAACAACCTCCGATATTTATTTACAGTCAATACAATGATTGATGCATCCGTAATATAAAAATGAAACTCTTTCCTTACGACATGGATGTGTAGAAAGCATTTATTTAAATTCAGGTGGTATGCGCTGATGTGTGCAAAAGCATTCACTGTCTCACATAGAAAGTCCATTCAGTTCCTGAACAGAAAACTAATCAGTTTATAGTTGTCACACTTTGCAATTATGAATGTTCGATGGTTATTCTAGATAAAATTGATATAAGTATCGAGAAATGGGATTTGGAAATGGTATTAATTAATATATTTTTGCATAAATATGGTAATTGTAATCATACTGAGGTTTTGACATAAAGTATGTATTGATATGTCCTCCTTAACCATCCATAAGGAAGGCCTGAGCCCCTGCAGTGGGGACGTAAAAGGGCTGGTGATGTGATGATGATGTATTGATATCGAGAGTTACTTTTATTAATATGTATATCATATCACCTGTTTCATTTAAATATATATATATATTATTTTTATTATTAGTTTAATTTATTAGAATTTTTGTGTTTTTAGTTTTTATTTCATTAAACAGGATAAGGTTAACGTTATGCCGTTGTATTGTTCTTTTTAATTGCAAAATAAAACAAAGTATTCACATTTTTTTTATTTGCAGCGCATTTTTGAGTGGCGCATTTTTAGGATTTCATAGTAAATAATGAAAGGTGAATTTTTATTCAATGAGTTTATTGTTTAACATAAAATATTAACATCCATCCATCACATTCACACTATCTCTCATTCGCATTTAATTTCAATAAATAAGTTGCTAAGTTTTACATAGTATTTACATTCAGTTTCCAATGAAACATTTTTCTATTTTTGGTCTGTAGCCGATCTCGTTTGCGGCGGCTTCGAAAATGAAATATTTTGCAGCCACGTTGATCGGTTCGTGTCGTCGATTCAGGTGTATTAGTGACTCAGAAGTATGCGTTGTAAGCCATTTCTTGTGCTTGCTCCTGGGGTTCAGCATCACGTCGGCGGCGGGTAGCGGCGTAGGCGGCATCCCACGGGCCATGAGCTGCGATCTGCGGGTGTGAGTTGTCGGCCGCAATCTGGGTAAACTACAATGTTAGGCTGAGGGTAGTAGGGTTGTGAAAAGAGGTTAGCTCACATTCTAAAATAAAGTTAAATGTGCTGTAGTATAACTTCAATGTGCTACAGACAAAAGACAGTCTTTATAGTGCTTGTGCGTTTTAGGTAATGTGCTTATTGGTGCTTGAAGTAGAAGATCTGACACGTTAGATTTAATTTAAACTCACCTTCTTGCAAAGTTGGAAGATGGCCAAGGCAACGGATACCACGAAAGAGAAGAAGGAGAGTTGCAGCGCGTTCCAAGCCTTCAATCCGAGAACACCAAGAGCCAGAGGGATGAGGGTCATGGCCTTGAGAAGTACGAATACCAGAATAGGTACAATGATTTTCTTTAGCTTGGCTTTGCGGGCTTCACCGACCGACCGTGCGCCATCTTTGTTGAACTTGATGTTCAGGCTGATCTCATCATTGTCAAGGTTTCTGGGGCTGACAGTGACTTTGGTGTCAGCGATTGGCATTTGGAAGGTCACATCGTGGGATTGGATGAAACCTTCTACGTTGTCGAAGAAGTCTCCAGCGGAGCGGCCAGTGACGTCATTGGCGGCATCGTTCTTAGTGACTTCGACGGCTTCGGAGATCTGTAAATGAAATTAATTATTACTTGTTATTACGAAAAATATTTAATTGATTGTGTTCTGTTAGAGATTTCCAAAAAAACCTTGCCTGGAACGTGTCCTTTTTGAAGATGGAGTCCAATAGAGACATAACCTTATATTTGATACAGGCAGTGGGATCAGATCCTTCGGCGCAACCAGATCTCATCTCCTCTACCATGCCGTCCATAGGAGTGCCTTTCCAAAAGGCTTGCTTGGGTGGTTGAGCCACCGCGCTACCAAAAAGGGCAAGCGCCACTAAACACACTACTTTACTGGACACCATTTCGTTATGCTGTGGACCTGGTGTTCACTGGACGAAGGCTAGTTTGATTGTGATAGTTTCGTCAAGGAGCTCATGGTTTTTATACAGCTATTTCAAATTCAGTACGTATGTTGTAGTTCCGGCACGCATTGTCTTCCTAAGTACGAATAAGTGTATCACATAAGCCTTTTTGTATTTAGAGAGGCGAAGTGTAAGGGAAAGCTATTTGATTCGGATCCTTCTTGACGTTGCCAACGAAGAAAGGCTTATGTTCTAACACAGCTTTGGGTTTAAGTGACTTAGTCGTTCCAATGTGTATTATGAGCTCCTTTTCTGTTGTTTGTGACTCGATGCCCTGATTCTAAGGGGCATGATCCAACTGTTGTTGTTTTTTCTGTTGCATGAGTTTTTGTACGCATGTGAGAGGGATAGGCGATATGCGGAGCGCCGAGGTGTTTGATATGGCTGAGGAGACGCTGCGCACGCGTCTCTCGCATACATAATCACCTTAAAATTGCTATCATTGAACTTGTCACATTGGAGATAATGTAAGTGATAAAAATTGTAACACTTAATTGTTTGAAGGATAGCAAATTATTATTTTGTTACAATAAAGATATATAAAACAGTAGTTTTGTTACATAATTTTATTTGTATGTTGCTAAACTTAGGAAAAATTTTGAAAATCTCAAAGAAAGTGTTTAAGAAAATATGAGAATTTAGTTAAATGATAATAACTTTAGTAGCTCGGTAGCATAGGGGATGAGCACCATGGCCTGCGATCGGTGTGGTTAAGCAAATTTTACAAGGGTCAGTCACGGGATAGGTGACCATAATATGATTATCTCGAACTACTCCGTGCTTCGGAAAACACATTAAGCCGTTGATCGCGGCTGTATTTGCAGGCGTTAAAAACCTTCAATCCGCATTAAGTCAGCGTCGAAGATCATGGATGGTCAATCCTTCTTAACCATCGATAAGGAAGGCCTGAGCCCCTGTAGTGGAGATGTAAAAGTGCTGATGATGATGATGATTCATTTGGTGAACAACTAGTTAAACTAACCACGTTCTGTTGTGATTGTTCCCGGTATAAAAATACTCTTGTATAGAGACAAGCTTACAACAAACATTAGGAGTGGTATAGGTATACTCTCTTGTACTTAAAATTTCATTATATCATTACATCATGTCAGCCCTCATGACCTTTATATCATTAGATAAACAATACTGGTGCAGGGGTTTTCCTATAAAGTAGAAAATGCAATAGTTATTGAATGAAGTATGAAAACTAGGTTTATTGAATAGAACTGATAAGTGGAAACAGATATTGGCAGAATATAATGATTACAATACGCAGCAAGCAACCTGAAATGAAGTTGAGAAGTACATCTATACTGATATTATAATAAGGTAAAGTTTCTAGCTTTGTTTGTTTGTAGGAGGTAATCTTCAGAAATACCGATCCTATCATGAAAATTAAAGCTAAAACAATAGTTATATAAGCATTTGAGCATATTTTTATACATTATAATCGTGAGACACATTTTGGTGATAGACGGACGGCCAGAGGGGTTAGTATAACGTCCCACTTTACTCTTTGGGTACGGAATCCTAAAACACAATGTTATTATAGGCGTGCTAGTGACTTATAATAATATCGGTATATCTTCTTTAAATATTACAACTTCATTTTAAAGCATTTATATCCTCATGATATGGACACAGACACAGTGTATAGATATATTAAGATTATATATGAGTTTCAAAAAAAGGCTTGATAAGGAAAATATAAGTATTTAAAAGTAAATTTAACCTGTCTCTCTATATTAATATAAAAATGAAAGTTTGGATTGTTTGGTGTTTTTTGTATTGAATAGACTCTAAAACTACTGAACTGTTTTTGAACTTTCTTTCACCTACTGGAGCTACATCGCATGCGGGTGACTGATTGGTTATAATTTCCGCGGGCGAAATCGCGGAAAAACAGTATGAGTACTACAAAAAAGCTTTTATTTTTGCTAAAAATTAAACAAGTTTTATTATTCAAGTTGCATAATTAAGTCATGTTGGAAATTGCATCTTAAATTGGTTAACCAAATATAGAAAAAGTTCAATTTCTATATTCACTCATCAACTCATTTTTTTATAGTCCTTACTTCTTTATAATACTATAAAGAAGTAAGGACTATAAAAAAAATTAGAATTTTGTAACCATAGCTTAAAACTATTAAGTTCGAATTTTAAAAAACTTTGACAGCGGATTTACCTACTGTAAATCGAAAACACGATACTTGAAAATCGACACATCGACTTTTAAGTACTTGTTGATTTTTTTTTTCTAGCAAACGACTGTAAATCATGACATGCTAACATTGTTTGAGTATAATTTTTCTCAGTGTGCCCGTAGTAGACTTGGCACAAATACTTTGATACTTAGTTAACGGCTGATACCAATTTTTATTATTGATCCGGCATCTAGTGGCCCCTAAGGAATACTGATGTGGTTACCATTTCTGGTAGGAAAGGTAATGAATATGGTGAAAGTGATATACTACGAAGAAACTCAGTTAGTTTTATAATAAGTAGCTATTAGTAGCTGTTCCCGCAACATATACCTAAAGTTATAAATTTTGTCCATATTTATTAAATCATATTATATTACATACCTATTTATTAATCTAATTTCTAATAATTTTCGTCCGTTACGTGTAATAGACAATTAAAATTTTTGTTAAGGGTTAATTTAATAGGTATTTCAGTTTAATCCTAAACAAATATAAAAAATACAATATAAAAATTATGATCGCACATTTTGTTTCGTGCGATGCTAAGACGACAATATGATACCTATAGGTCATTGGATAAAAAATCTTTACATGCCCCATCCAATATTTTCTCATAATCATTTTTATTTAAGCATATTGCGTGTATTGGTCATTTATTCTATCTACGTTAATAAAATGAACCGCTGAGGTAAACCGTTATTTAGAATAAAACTAATATTTTTTTTACTTTAAATATTCGTTGACCAGAAAGGTTCTCATGACGAAAAAAAATTAATAATATAGAAGAACATAATAAAAAAGGAATAGATAGTGTTACTATTCCATAGGCGTTAATTTTACTGACTACGTCTTAATTTGCATACAAAGGCCATACGAAGTTCGCCAGGTGAGCTAGTTATGATTTTAATTGCTATCTCATTGATTTGAACGAGTCGAAAGAAAAAAAAATAGCTTACACTTTTATTTATATGTATAGAAAAACGTCAATTAATAAATTATAAGTGAAAACATTGGGCATAAACATAATGATGCTAAAATGGTTTATAATTCTTTGTGTTACAAATAAATGAACAAAACTTTTTTATGAGGATCTTTTGATCTCGTGTTCGATATCCTAGAGTCCGTGGGCTAGAAAAAATTAGGAAACGTTGATCTAGAGGATTTCCATGTTTTAATTAATAATTTCTAACATAATGCTATGTAATAGAATTCGTCTGAAATAACATTCTAATAATACGTCACGTCTTCTAGTTATAAGTAGATTATTAAATTATTCTTGAGCTGTCAACGTCAACATTACTCAATGCAAACTGCACTTGTGCCCACACGACACAGTGCTTCTGCGTAATTAATTCATTGCCACGCCTAGGAAGCGACGGCCAACCAAAAGTATGGAGCGAAACCCACACTTGGGCGGCAAAGGCCATTGCATGCTATATCGCTACGTTCAGTCCTAACAGTGACACCACGCCGTTCGCCAGCTAAATCTCAGCGACGAAATTCAGTGACCCATTCAGCATTTCTATGGCCATATATATCCAAGATCCATAGAAGGAGATGTCCCGGTTAACTGTAACGAATTTTAACAAAAGGACCGGCAGCCCCTTCCAAAGCAAGAGTAAGGAGCCCTCACCGGAGAACACAAGAGTCGTTCAAGATATAGTCTTGGAAAAAACACATTACGAAAAACAAAAGGAGAAACAAAGTGAGTTGATGCAGAAAGTGAATAAAAAAGCTGCAGAATACCAAGCAAATAAACCTAGTTCAGGCGTGTTTACTGAAGTAGTGACCCATGGAGCGTTTACCAGTAAGACAAATAAAGAGAAAACGCCACCAATAGAAAACGTAAATAAGGGACCAAACGGTTCTAATGGATCTAAACAACTTCTGGGATTTCCATCTTCAGCAAACGATTTGGCCCTTGATGCTAAAACTGATCTCGAATCAGATCCAAATATCTCAAAGGAAGTGAAAGAGAAAGTTATTCAAAAGTTATTTAAACTTGTGTCAATGGTACAACACGTATACGAATCAAAAGTGAGGATTATGACGGAATTTGAGAAATTCAAAGATACCCATTTAAAGGCAGAGGTGAGAAGAGAAAAAGAATATTCGGAACAATTGTACAAATTGAACATGAATTTCCAAAACGAAGTTGTTCAAGCTATACAAAGACTGAAAAGTGAAATGGATATTACTAGAAATGCAACGGGTGATTTAGAACAACGCAGTGTCAGTGAATCTAAAAATAGTTCAGTTGATTTCAACACACATGATGCGCAGGATTCACCTAACAAAAATTCTGATGACGTAACCGATGAAAACAAAAGTGAACACGATATAATAACACAAAGCGAAAATATTGTTAATACTTAATATCTATCAATTTATTAATAAGTAAACTGTAGAAACATAATACAAAACTGGGTTTGTTTTGAAGTTTTATTTATTCTTCTTAAAATGAAATTAAATTAAATTCCTACTAATGAAGACAGAACTTCACTCCATTGCATCATTTGTTACTATTACTGTACACTCTCTGATTTATATACTGATTTATATGATACTTACCACAACTTTTTCCTTTTTATCTATAAACATCTTTGCGATTGGGAAAGGCTGTTATAAACGGAAGATCATTTTAATTGAAGGAAATATTTACCTTCGAAAATTAAAGCAATGTGATTGATCTTAACTGATTACTACGGAATTTGCTTTATGATTTTGGTCAAGGTGATAATTGACGGACTACAAACAGATGTTGGTGGACGTTATGTGGGAGGAGTGTTATGTTAAGAATTTCAACGATTCCAAATGTTTTTAATAAGTAAAGTTTCGCTTGTTTCTATAAAATGAGGATTTTTGTTTGATTTGAGTTAGTATTATTTTTTATAAAAAGCAACATTGGGGAAAAAGGATAAAGACGTCTTGATACTTGTAATAATTTAATATAACAAACTCTTTCAATCCTGCTTCATAGCATTAAATGTACTCCTATTTAAATCCCTATATCGGCAAATTTTGACGTAGATTAGCCATCTGTGTGGGAGATATGTAACATGGTGCACAAACATTCACCTGTACTCTCTATATTACCAAGATCTAATATTTTGTCGGGACAGCACCCGGCTTAGAAAAAACCCAATAATATTTTATCTGACTCGTAATCTAACACGAATAAATAAAATAAAAAATTGTTAAATTTACATAATCAATCAGTGCGAATATTTGTTTGTGATAACATTACAAGTAAGTATTTAGAAATAACTATATCAGGGTGTTATAGATCTTCAGGACCGGATTAAACATAGGTGAGTAATTAAACTAAAAATGAAAAATAAAGTGTGTGTGTGTGTGTGTGTGTGTGTGTGCGTGCGTACGTGCGTGCGAATTTCTTTATTGCGAATTCCTACTAATATGGTATGGTAACTAATGTATTAATTCTTTTAAAAAATTAAGTATCAAGACTAGTCATTGCTAGTTACCGGTCAATTCATAAACACACTTTAAAATCAATAAATTTCGTCAACCTACAGCTTCTTTTCACAAATTTTGCTGTAAGCACTTAAAACATTTTTTGTCGCTTGGGATATCAAATTGGGCATTTTCATAAAATAAATTAATATTTTCACAAATATTTAAAGCAATTTATACTTTGACTTGTCACCAAAATCGAGATATTTCTTTGTTTCTTTTTTGCCATCAGATTCTGGTAAACCTATAATTAATGCAAAATTAACAAAGACTTTTCTAACCTTTGCAACTCTGTTAAACAAACTTAATTTTATACCTGTAAATCTGTATTTTTAATTATGAAAACAGCTAACAGGTCAATACCTATTCGATGAATAGGATCTCAGAGAAAGAAAGAAGAATTATTAAATATCTTTTTAATACCTCTCTTTTTTATTTGGTTTTAGGTAAACATTTTACTTACACATATTTTAATAACTTTTTAATACGCAATTCATAATTGTTTAGGGAAACACCAAGACCAAGATATTTTATATCTGATGAGGAAAATCTGTATATTGGCAACACACGAATTATTTGAAACTAAAGTGTTTATTATAAACACAGAAATAGATCTCAAAAAGAAAAATACAATAAGCCGTATCTTTTTAAACTCCCTACTGTTTATAATTTGCAACTATTACAAGCTGTGTAACTAGTATATACCTAATAGTTAGTATGTTATCCCTAATATTTATTCAAAAGCGACTTAGTCAAGAAAATTCTATTGTAGTTGGGTACCTATCATTTAATTAAAAACCGACTTCAATAGCAGTTTCTTGAATAAGTAGTTTTTTTATAATTATTATTTATCACTTTTTCGGAGTTTGAAGTCGAAACTGATTAAAAAAAAAATTCATAAAAAAGGGTCAATGTTTTGCTTCACATATTATCATGAGATTCATTCAGATTCACATTATTAAATTTTTTTGAAGCGTTCTTTATATTTTTATTTTTTTGTATATAGTACAAAAAATTAAAAATATAAAGATTTTCATACTATTTCATTCATACCGCCAAATTTCATACTGCAAAATAATTAATGATAGCCCCGGAAGTTTATTTCAATAAAAAAGTTTTTATTTTGAAGTAGTAAAAATAATATAGAATAGACTCGTGTGGTTTAGTCATCTGATCACGTTCCAAGGGTTTTGCAACCAACCTACTCACGAGTGTGAGGATAATAACGGCCAGACATTTATTGGTCATTGGAAGAAACAAAAGCTTTGTGAAATAACATATGGTAAGTTAACGTTTAAATTATTAGTAAAATAATGTTTTCATATTATATTTGTAAAGTAACATCACCCAAGTCTTTGTTTTAAAATATAATCCCAAATCAGGAGTTTTGTTAGCAGACTTTGCGTTTTTTATGACTATAATAAGCTAGTTTATTAAAAAAATCTATTACTTTAAGTGGACAATGTATATATCACAAAAGATGTTAAATTAAATAGGTATTGTAGTACATTCCATATTTTGTAAAGTATTTAAAATTTTAATAACATGTATGTAATTATAATTCCAGGTAGCCATTGCAAGATGTGTAAGTGTATAATAACTGTTATATTAACAGCGGGTATTATCGCAACCAATGCAACACCATCTTGCAGATTTTATGATGAAAATAAAAACAATTTTGTGTGTTCTCCAGTTGGCACAGACTATGAACTGAAAAAGGGTCTGGTTTCAAATCAAGATAATGTTAAATCAATAAGTTTAAGAGGCTGTGGTATTACAGATATCGACTGTGATGCATTTGTTGGATTACCAATGCTGCAACATTTGGATATAGCTGAAAATAAACTGCAAGAGCTAAAGCCATGTACCTTAGTATCTTTGCCTCAACTTAATTCCTTAGATTTATCATTTAATAAAATATCAGTACTATCACCTGGAACTTTTGATCATCTAAATAATATCGAAGAGCTTTATTTAAAAGGCAATGAACTACGAAATCTACAGAATGAAATTTTCGATAAATTGAAAAAGTTAAATGTATTGGATTTATCTAACAACGTCATTGATGGCAGTAATTTGAGTCCTCGTATTTTTGATAACAATAAGATTATAACATCGTTGGATTTATCAAGGAATGATATGTCAAGAGCACATGAAAATTTACTTCAATCGTTTCAGACATTACAGTCTTTATATTTAGATAGATGCTTTTTAACGCGTGTTCCTTCATTCGTAACCAAGAGTAACCTCAAAACGTTGCAGCAATTGATACTGTCTACAAATCAAATAACTAATCTGGATGACCCGACAAGCTTCATCAACATGGACGAACTTATAATGTTGGATTTTGCTGGCAACTCAATAGAGAGTGTCGCTGAAAATGTTTTTACACCATTAAGAAAGCTTAAAACGATTGTGTTAAAGCATAATCATTTGAAACAGATTCCAGAAAAATTGTTTCAGAATATGCCGAAGTTGGTTAATATCGATTTGTCATATAACGATATTCAAGTAATAAACTTAGCTTCGTTCCGTAATACACCGATGAAAAATTTGAATTTATCTGGGAATAATTTGACTTATATGCCTGTGAACTTTTATGGGACATTGATAAGCTTTGGAGGGAAATTAAAGAAATTTTTATTCACCAATAATCCTTGGCAGTGTGCTTGTTTGCGGGACATCTTACAGGAGGTCAAGGAACATAATATTGAATATAATATGACTGTTTACGATGGAAAACTCTCTGTTTGCGTCAGTGATGGTGATTTTATTTGCAATAGAGGATAAATAATAAGGATAAATTATTTCATTGAACTTTAAAATTTAATTATTTAATCTTACTAAATATTTAGCTTATTTAAGCGTTTATCAGGCTCTTTTTTTATCTAATCATTTATTTGTATTTTTTGTTTTTTTATTTGATTGGTTTCGTGTCTAGAAACATCATAAATTATGCAAATAGATAATTATATTTGTGTATCAGAATCTGATGTCAAATCAGGAAATTTTAATTTGTAGAAGACAAAATTTGGGAAAAAGGATAAAGATGTCTTAATACTTCTAATATTTTTAATATCATAAATATTTTTCAATAATTGCCGCATAACATTGAACGCACTCCTGACGGGATTCTGATCACGGCAAATTCTGACATAGATTAGCCATTTGCGTGAGACATAATATAATGTACAAACATACATCTATATACTCTATATAAGCAACATCTAAAATTTTGACGGGATAGCACCTGGCCCAGAAAAAAAAACCCAATAATATTTTACCTGACTCGTAATCTAACACGAATAAATAAAAGAAAATTTACTTTATGTATTTCTTTAATGATAATCTCTACTAACCACTCGTCTGTCGGGCCGCCTAGCGACGAAAATGCACTTCTGTTGGCACCGCGTCGCGAGCACGTCACAGACAGGATCGCGGAGCGTGTCGATTCTTATTAGAATGTGTTTTTTTCCAATAAGACCGTTAAAATAAGCTTAAACTAATAATATTCGGAATCTAGAAACAATTATCTAGTAGCATTATTAATTACAACTGCTCTGAAGAGTTAATAACAATAGAAAATAACTATGGAAAAATTGGTTCTAAAAAATTGGAATTATAATTTGGAATTAAATAAAAACAACGCAATGAGTTCTATGTATTTTTATTGTTATTTAATCCTGCCCATATATAAATAACAATACAAGCAAAATATTTGTACACGATCATAGAAATAGTTTTTGTATAACAAGATTCTTTGGTACCTACCTACAAGGCATCCACTTGAAACGCGCGTCAAGTGGCCCTATATTCAGATCTCGGTTCTCAGTAACGATAACAAGTAGAACAAAGACTTTTTATTTATAGTAACTTAAGTTCATCTACTACACAATAAAATAGCGAGCCGAACGTTTAGTTTTATAGATTTTTCATAAAAAAAAACAAAAATGACACTAAAATATGACCTTTAAAACAGTACTTCCGAAAAATCTATTTTCTTGCCAAGTTTATATGAATATTGTAATAACAGTTGATATTTTGAGTTCTCGAAAGATCTATGGATCCTATTTTATATAATTACAAGTATGCTTCGAACTAAAATTTGATAATAAATTCAAGTAAAAACAGAGAAATTTGAGACATATTGGGCATAAACATGCTAGTTTAATATGGATAAGACATAAAGTGACGTATCACTTCACGTTTTAATTTTAATATATAAATAATTTTAGAACATACTTTTTTATAAGATTACCTAAAAACAAATGTGTAAGGTGGACATAATGCTAAAAACATTATCTATTAGTCAACTTTAGCAGATAAGTATATAAAGTATATAGGTAGGTAGGGGTTTAATGCTGAAAGTGCATTATTAAGGTGATATATTTAAAATCTAATAAGTTATTTATCACATTATTTACAGTCACTTGGAAAACATCAGAATATTGGCTATATAAAAAAAAAAAAACACTGGATACAATATAGATGGAAAGTTTTATCATAAACAAAAACAAGACAAAAATTTACAGGTAATGAACGTTTTTAATGAAAAATGCATATTAATATTTTAATACCTTTTTTATAAAAAACAACTTAATTTTATTTTGCACAAACTTGCACAACATTTAGTGTATAAAAACAATATATGTATTACAGTATACAATGGAACAGCTACAGAAATTAATTATTAGGTACGTAATAAAAATAAATAAGTTACCACATCCGGCTTCCAACAGTACACAAGTAGCCATGCATTTATTTGTAATAGAATTAATTTTATTTAACGAAATCTGCAATTTTCGAAAATAATCGGTGCAAGATTACAAAGCAAACGTCTTATCTATACTATCCCACCATCGTCGACTGCCGCCATCTTAAACGCGAACTGGGTCTGTGGCGGCACCGCGCTGCGGTGACGCTCTGTCTGTGGCGTGCTCGCAACGCGGGCGTAGCATTCCCAGCTTTGTTTTTAATGATTTGCAGCTCAATTTAAACATATATAAGCTTTGTTACTCATAATAATAGGAAACAGTTTAATTTTAATACGCAATAAACAACAGTACAATAAGTTTTGATATTTATGTAACCTAAAAACCTTAAAGACAAAATTCGAGACCCTAGTGGCAAGCAGTGGAGTCCACACTTCAACGACGGATAAAACAAGAAAAATGGATTAAATACATGCTAATATTTATTTAAAATGAAAGAATAATAAACAATACTTACATTTTCCTCGAATAATTCCAAGCGGAGACACTAAACACAAACTTTATTGCTTTAAACAATGACTACAGTGAGCGGAGAATGTACCATAAAGTAACAGCTCACTACCATAAAGAATTGTATTAGATGTTAGATTTTGTTTGTTAATATTCCGTCTTTGTTATCTTACTCTTTATTACGTAGGAGAAACAGGGACAAAGGTATTTTAGAGCGCTGACTCGGCCGATTTAAGGAGACCGAATGTCAACCACCGCGCTGCGGTCATGCCACAGATAACGGGGTAGATGACGATGCTCGCGTTGCGGTGGCACGACAGACGAGTGGCTAATATAGTAACTGCTGTTGCGCTTACACATCTAAATCAAATCTTTAGTTTATTTTCTTCTTTTCACGGTTTCTTCCTATATTTACGTCGTATAAAAATATCTTCACATCTTCTTCTTCACTAATAATTTGTTTTATTGTAGTAGCCAACACGCCAACGAGTATTTACGAATTAATTCTTTAGTATCAAGACTAGTCATTGCTAGTTACCGGTCAATTCATAAACACACTTTAAAACCAAAAAATGTCGTTGATCTTCAGCTCCTTTTCACACATTTTCTTACGAACATTAAAAACAATATTTGTTGTGTGAGATATTAAGGGCTGTTTGGGCATTTTCACAAAATAAATTATTGTTTTCACAGATATTACCAACAATTTACACTTTGACTTGACAGTTGTCAACAGTTGGCAATTTATATTGCCATATGAAAATCGCCAAATTTATTTATTTTTATTTTATGCCGCCAGATTCTGGTACGCCTATAATAACATAATCGCTTAAAACAGGCAATTATGGAAAAGTAAAGAACAAAGAAGTGGTTGGAGAACGAGAAGAGCTATGTCATCTATTCCAGATGGATTTTTTTTTAATTCAACCATTTTTCTTTAGTGGGTTCAGTTATTGAACTTATAATAATATTATAAGGATTTATAATAATATAAATATAAGCAATAAAATTATTCACAAATTTGATTATCAATCCGTATCCACCCGTAATCATGTGTAGTTTACCATATTATAATTACAGCATAATCATCTATCACAGTTTACAAAAACTAATATTTTGATTGGTTCGTAACCTCAGTGAACCTGTTCGTGTATCATTAGCGTACAAGTATTATTTTTACACTGACTACAAGAAGAACGAGTTTTACTCATAACAAATGCCATATTATTACGACGCTACATCCTCAACGGACGTATTTCATTTGACATAAATGTTAGCAATTGGATTGGTGTTGTGTTCGTATAAATGCATATTTTAAACATAAAATTGAAATGAAAATTCAGTAATTTGTTGTTGATGTGAAATATTGTACAGAAGCCTTAGTGAACAAAATAACGTGTCGTTTTATTATTTTGTGAAATCAAGTATAGATATCAAATAAGTATCAGGTACGATTTAAAAAGCAATACATATATATTTTATATTTGATAAATTTAGCATTCAGTACACCATGTTGCTAATCATCTTATAAAAAGGATCTGTAGTGAAGATATACAGAGATGGATATATCGATGTATAAGATAATTTGCCTCGATCTCACAGTAATATTATAAAGAGAAAAGATTAGATTGATTGTTTGCTCAAAAACTATAGGATCAATTAAAAAAAAAACTCACTTACAGGAGTCTACATTATACGCGGGTGACAGGTTATATTTTACGCGGTCAAGTAAAAGTAAAGGTCAGTAAAAGATATATTAGTTTTAGAATTTACTTACTGAGGGACTCATTCAAATCTTATATTATCTTTCAAATGAGATTTTTGTAAAATGTTTACAAACTTATCTACTAAGATAACCTTAGAAAGTGTGATGCTCGAATATGGATTTATCTAGATTTTCTCTTACTATTATGTTTGTTCTTCGATATTTTTCAGTTGCTTTTAAATTAAGTAACATTACATTAGCAAAAATAAGTTATTTGTCAAAAGTTTTACTAATGAACTTTAATAACAAATAGACTCCATTCATGTTTTTGCGTATGGTATTTTATTAAATTCTTATTTGCGTATTTACAAAATACGATTTCACGTTTGCCTTAATAATAATTAGTGACGCTCTGATGCTATTACTTATATAAATAAAATAATGTAAGAAGTTATATTTTTAAAATTATTTATACTGATTTATATTTCGTAAAGATTTTAAAAGATTAGATAAGATTTTTAAATAGATTTATGTTTCTCCTGTCCCACTTGTCCCACAATAGACCACATTTATTGAGATCAGGAGCAACAAACAAATAGTAATAAAATGTAATATTGATTATGAAGTAACTTTGTTAATCAAATAAATAAATATTAAACAACATCACAACACCTAAAGCCCTGTACTATGGAGTATCTGAGACAACGAAGGTAACACCACACCTGAGACAATATAAAAAGTACATTTTCGTGACCTCAGAGAGGGCGACACCTTGAAACCGGCGTGCGAACCACTCGCCGTCAATAGTTCTTGGGACTATCAAATCTAACCTTTTGTTTCTACTTTATATATGTTTTCTTATTTAAAAATCCAGATTAAACGTTACAAATATATTGCATTGCAGGTTAATCGAAGAAACTCAATATGCAGCGTGCTATAATTGTAGTGTTAACAATGAAATACATATTAGTTGAAGCACAGCCTTCTTGTACTTTCACTGGGAATAATCAGAGGGATATTATTTGCGTATCAGGTAAATCTGACTATGTTCTAGTGAGAGGACTTGTCTCAGATAATAACAAAACTACAGGAGTAACTCTAAGAAATTGCAAGATAATTGACGTGGAATTCGAAGCATTCGAGCGAATGCCAGTATTGGAGTACCTTGACTTGTCTCAAAACCAAATAAAATATTTGAAACTCGGTGTTCTGGACGGTTTTAACAGATTGAAGTTTCTTAATCTGTCTTATAATGAACTCGAAGGATTCCCTCTGGGATTATTCGATCAGAAACCGAATTTAGAAGTTTTGGACCTTAAAGGTAACAGTATCGTTAATTTAGAACTTGGTGTTTTTGATCCCATGAAAAAGTTAAAACACGTCGATCTCTCCAGCAATGCTTTATTAGGAAGAGATATGAATCCTTACATATTCGATCAGAGCACTCACATAAAATTTATGGACTTTTCTAGAAACGACATGACTGATTCGAAAGATATCTTGTTGGATGCCTTTGAAGAACTAGACTTTTTAAATCTAGATAGATGTCAACTAAACGAGGTGCCAAAATTTGCAACCAAATCTAATTTGAAAACTATAAAACATTTGATGCTATCGACAAACAATATAAGAGCAATCAATGATTCGAAAATTTTTATGAATTTGGAAAATTTGGAAATATTAAACTTATCCTACAATATCATTGAAAGTATTGCAGCAGACGTATTCACTCCACTCAAGAAGCTTAAAATGATAAAATTAATGAACAACAGATTAACGCAAATACCAGATACATTATTCCGAAATATACCAAATTTAAACAATGTTGACTTGTCGCATAATTTAATAGAGTTTGTTCCAGTGAATGCATTCAGAAGCTCGCCAATCAAGCATTTAAATCTCTCAGATAATAGATTCAGTTATTTGTCAGATAATTTTTGTTTGGAATTGAAAAATTCTGGGGGTGTATTAGCTAAGTTTTATTTTAATCAAAATCCTTGGCAATGTGCCTGTCTAAGAGACATCCTTAATGAAGTGAAGAACTTTGGAATAGTTTACAATAATGTTAAATATACTGGTGACGAACCTGTCTGCGTTACTAATCCAAATGGATTTAACTGTATGAGACAAATGCAAGAAAATAAGTACTATGTTGATCTGTATTACAATATTTACAACTCCATTACTAGTGTTTAAAAAAAAATTTACTTTATGTTTATTAATGACTACGAGCAATAGATTCTTCGATTTTGTATTTTATTAAAGCAAGACAGTGCTTATTACGTATACCAGATGACGTTTTTGAGGATTAATTCCCAATCTATTCGAATATTATAAAGAGATAAAATTTGAAGTATCATACGCGGGTGACTCAAACTATAATTTACGCTGGAAAACAGCTAGTGTTTTTTAAAGATATACTCGTTAAAAATGGAAGCGATGCAGTAGCTTTGACAGAAGTCAATATTCGATAGTGAATATTAGATTTTGGAAATATTCTAGTTATTTTAACAATACTCCATCAAGATCATTAGAAGACGAAGCTTTGTGAAATAATATATAATAATGTTTTATTTGTTATTTTTTTGCCGATTTAGAAAAAGGTAGTTAATGCTTTCAAAATTTCTGAACTGATTTCAATGAAACTTACACTATTTCCTAAGTTGAAAACTATTTAAGCTCAAGATGGGTTAGAGGAATTCCCTATGGATGGGCTCGAATTAAATAGGGAGAATGAGATATGACCAACCTCACGCACCCAGTGCGGATTGCGGAGTATTAACGACTACCAGATCCAGCGAGGACAAACGCTTAACATGCCTTGTGAAGCACGGAGGAGCTCGAGATAATTTTATTTGTTTTACCTATCATAGGATAGCCGGCCGATTTAAAGTTACTTATCTTCCTCATAGGAGACGCTATAACAACTATGCCATTGAGCACTACATTTATTCAACGTAAAAGTACATCTTAAAAAATAATGACCTTTGCCTTCGCTTACACTTTACAAATATGTGCAATAAAAAGTAAAAAATAAAATATTTTTATCTAAATATTGATGATTATTTGTGTTTAAAAATTCGACAGTTTCCATGATTTATGAAACAAGTTCGCAATGCAAAGTTCGCAAATCACGTTGCGAATTATGAATGAAAACGTTATCTATCATATCATAAATCATGGAAAGAATGAATGTCGCTTACGCACGTGCTTTGCAATTGTCTAATTGATTTGCCAGTTTACCAATATTTATGTGTTTTCAGAGACGATTTCAGGTTATGAACTTTTTAAAATGTAACTTCACATATACAGTGTTATGGGTGATTAGACTGGATCCTTTTAAGGGATCATAGGAGAGGTTATTCATAATTATTTTCACCCCACATTGTATATCCGAAAGTATTTTTTTTAAATGCACTTTTGCAATATGACCTCTTAAAAGGATCCGGTATAATTAACCATAATCCTGTATAATAAACTAGCTGTTTTCCCGCGCCTTGGCAGGCATAATCTATAGTTTATGAAAACTCCGTATGATATAGCTTCCCGTAGCTAAAAGAATTATTAAAAGAGGTGTAGTAGTTTCGTAGCTATTGAAAGCAAACAATCAAATCTTTCTTTTTATGAATACACCTCTTCAAATTTTAGATTAGATGTACTTGAAAATTAACCGCGTATATAGGAAACTCCGCGGACAACCACATAAGAACTACTGATCTATGTGGACCTTTGGATCTTGGCCATTAAGGTTTTTCACTTGTTCAGATTGATTGTTGTGATGTGGTGCAGCCATGCTGGCTAACTAAAAAAATAAGCATTGGCACGATATTTTTATATTTTTTGTCTAATCATATAGGTGATGCTTGAGTAAAAATAAATTGTATTTAGCCCGTAAAAAGAAACTGTATTTAGTTAGATAATAATTTAAAAATATTAGATGCGTCTTTTTATCTAAAAAACCTTCATTTTTTATCTAGTAGTTTTGTTTATATTGGCAACAGAAATGTTGTCTTAAAAGTGAAAAGTAGAGTGTAACATACGGTGCCTAATTAAAAACCCAATATAACATGGTATCTGTTTATTCGCTAAAGCTCGGGAGTAAAACTACTGCGTAATAATGAGTCATTTTAGCCCATTATAACAATCTACTTTTCATTCTGGACGAATTAATAGAAGATTGTTATAAAATTCCTTTTTATCTTACTAATACCAACCAATGGAACTTGTTTTAAAGTAATAAAACAAATTAGACTCTTCTGATATTTACGTAAATCTGTGACGGTATTATATAATATCACTGCCAATAAAATTAATTATGTATATGTATAATAAGAATTACGATAAAGGAATGTAAATGACCGCAGGGTTTTGCGAGCTGTTGCCATAATAAAAAAAATGTGGCTCAATCAGCTATCAAAGTGTAAAAAACAAATGAATTGTGACTTTAGTGGACGTGGATCGCGAGCTATCGAGTAAGTATTATTTTTATTCCGACTAAATATAAGAAGAATAAGTTTAAAAGTCACATTTAATGCCATATTATTATATCATTAGGGCACCACGAATTTACGGACGTATATTACTTGATTTCATCTTCACAAATAGGTTTCATTGTATGATGTTACATTGAGATATATTATAAATTACATTTTAAAAGTCTAATAATTGCTTCAATGGTGAAATATTTTATAATAATCTGGGGAATAACGTGTAGAGTAATTTGTGTGTAGGTTATAATTTGAGGTAAGGTAAGATAAATTATTTATCAAAATAATTTATAAACCAATGAATTACAATGTTGTATTTACAAAATGTTGGCTACGCTAAATGTTGAATCCCATGATGTAGAATTTGAGAATATTTGCTTCAATTTTACATTGTTATACGAAAGTTAAACTGACTTACATACTAAATATCCTAGAAACTTTATATAAATAACTATCATGAACACCAGAATAACATTATTCGTATCAATTTTTAACGAAAATTGAGCGGACGGAGTTTTGTGAAGTTTGACATAATAAATTTAGTTCATTTATTTATATAAAATAAACATGAATTTAATAAATTAACTAAATTATTCAACAAATCATTTCACAATGTGCCAAGCCTTTAACTCTTTTGTTTATTGAGTGTCAAACAATCATATAAAGTATACTCTTTAGTAAGTATAATAACTTTAAATTAAAAGTTAAAAAATATTAGGTATAGTTAAAAGTTTATGACTCAATTTATGCCGAGTTTCGACCGTTGAGTCGTCGGGTGACACAATCTAATATTTGTTACTTTGATTACGAGCGACTATTATAGAATAACGTTTAATATAGATTATTTTACTTTAAAGATTCAGCACCGATATTTTTCTTATTAAGAGTCAAAAAATAATAAAAATAATCGTTTGTTTACATATTGCAGATTCATCTTAGTCATCAAATATGCAACGTGCTATATTAGTTATAGCGTTAACAATCAAATACCTCCTATTAATAGGAGCACAGCCATCCTGTGAATACACTGGGGAAAAAAAACAAAGGGATGTTATTTGTACAGCCGATAAATCTGACTACGTCTTAACAAGAGGGCTTGTCTCAGATAATAACAAAACTACACGAGTAACGCTAAGGAACTGCAAGATAATAGACGTAGAATTTGAAGCGTTCTATCAAATGCCAGCATTGGAGTACCTTGACTTGTCTCAAAACCAAATAAAAAATTTAAAGCTCGGTGTTTTGGATGGTTTTAACCGATTGAAGTTTCTTAATCTGTCTTATAATGAACTCGAAGGATTCCCTCTGGGATTATTCGATCAGAAACCGAATTTAGAAGTTTTGGATCTTAAAGGTAACAGTATCGTTACTTTAGAACTTGGTGTTTTTGATAAAATGAAAAAGTTGAAACATATCGACCTCTCCAACAATGCTTTATTAGGAAGAGAAATGAATCCTAACATATTTAATCAGAGCACTCACATACATATTATCGACTTTTCGAGAAACGATATGTCTGATTCAAAAGATAACTTGTTGGAAGTTTTTATAGAACTAGATTTTTTAAATCTAGATAGATGCCAACTAAACGAGGTACCAATATTTGCAACCAAACCTAATTTAAAAACTATGAAACATTTGATGTTATCGACAAACAATATAAGAGTAATCAATGATTCGAAAATTTTTATGAATTTGGAAAATTTGGAAATATTAAACTTATCCTACAATGTCATTGAAAGTATTGCAGCAGACGTATTCACTCCACTCAAGAAGCTTAAAATGATAAAATTAATGAACAACAGATTAACGCAAATACCAGATACATTATTCCGAAATATACCAAATTTAAACAATGTCGACTTGTCGCATAATTTAATAGAGTTTGTTCCAGTGAATGCATTCAGAAGCTCTCCAATTAAACATTTAAATCTCGCAGATAATAGATTCAGTTATTTGACAGATAATTTTTGTTTGGAATTGAAAAATTCTGGGGGTGTATTAGCTAAGTTTTATTTCAATCAAAATCCTTGGCAATGTGCCTGTCTAAGAGACATCCTTAATGAAGTGAAGAACTTTGGAATAGTTTACAATGATGTTAAATATACTGGTGACGAACCTGTATGTGTAACTAAACCAAACGGCTTTAACTGTATGAGGCAAATGAATGAAAATAACTACTTTATTGATTTGTATTACAATTAACTAATAGGTAAATTAAATGTTATGCCTTTAAGACTTCATAGCTTGGAGTATTTTTTTTTATATTCAAAGCGCCTTCTATGTAGCAATCGTGTAAGGATCAAGTGAGCGCACCGACATGCGCAGACGTTTCTTCGATTCGATGACTTAGTGCCTCTTACGTTTGCTAGATGGCGCTATTGAGTATAAAAAATCTTTAAAAATTACTTACGTTGTATAGAAAATGGTGACGATGGCGATGCATTGCTATAAAGTTAGTTAATCGTCGTTAGTTATAAAATAGATTAAAGAATAGGCGGGAATTAAAAAATCTTTAAAAAATAAATAATTAGAGAAACGAGTGTTGTTTCTCTAATTTTTTTGGATATGTATGTACACAGGGTTGCACGTCAGGCTACCTTTTATTTATTTATCTTTCTGGGTAAACCAACATCTATTCAAAGAAAAAATTATAAGTATAATAAATAATTAGCTAATTATAGGTTTCCGCATATATAACTTCAATATAGTAAGTATGCTATATGTATGTAGTACGATGGTACCATTGACGTTATAAAAACTAATATAGATAAATTCCTACCGTTAATATGTAGCACTGTGTAATTTGATTTAATCAAAATCCGGTGCCTTGTTAATTTAATTAATGAAATGCCTTATTTTATTAATACTTAATCCATAACACATTGATATACAAGTTGGTATGCTAGTCAGTTTGCACGCACGAATTATATGATGAATTTTTATGAAAATTAAAGGAATATTTTATATGTTGGCTCCGTTGGTCCTTAGGGATAAGGATTACCATCCATCCACATTACCATACCATCATTTTTAACACACTACGGTTTAGTTTACTCGTAAAGCTCTTCCAATAATATTGTTTAAGATCACTGTCAGTGTGACTTGCACGTTAATTTCAAGATGTCTCAGTCTCTAAAGTCCCGGGTTCGATTCCCAGTCAGCGCAATCTCTTTTTATTACAGGTATTGATATTATAATAATATATTGTGGTATAAGTAATAAGTTATATATCTGATTTTATGTACTTAGTAACAACTGGTGTAATTTAAGAGGATGGCTGTATAAAGGGAAAGGAATAATAAGAGAATGTGTATAATTAATTTAAGAATCATGTCGTCTGGAAGTAGATAAGTTGCATCCATGCGATATTCCCAATATAAAAAACCGTGTAACAGAAAAGAGTGATCAATTCAAAAAGTTCATTTAAGTTCTTTTCACAGCTGCAATTTCATACCACAATTTATTCCTAATTAGCCATTTTGAAAAATTATTTTCATACGGGACCGCTTGGAGGTCTATTAAAAAAGGCCATAACTTATAAAAAAACGCCAAACCACGTGCAAGAAATTTATAAAACCAACATCTGCGAAATCGGATTTTTTTGTAATATAATTTCTTTCGATAGCACCATTGCTGGGGTCCGTTTTTTACGGTTCAAAATATCAGATATTCGGTTCGCGTAAGTGACGTAGGTTGAGGTGTTTTAGTATACGGAGTGTATATTTTATGACATAATTATATTAACAGTAATCTATAATGGTTAATAAAGACAAATGACTTATGGACCTGTGATCTAACGTTTTTACGTGTATGTCAAATCTTAAGACAAAAAGACGCAACTTTGATCATATCAATTTCGTATAAATACGATATGAAATGTTATTTAGGTTTTTTAACAGTTAAGTCAGCTAATTTAATCATTTAAAATTTAGTATTTAGTAATAATAATATGGATAAATTTCTTATTTAATTGCAATTCTTATTCAATTCAATTAATGCAACAAAACTTATGCCATAACTAATTGTAAGTTGTTGAACGTCTCAAAATATACACACCATTAAAATATAATATTCCTTATTTGTATATGTTAATGATTGTTATTTGTATTTGTGTCATGATTAGCACGTGATTTCAGTTTTTTTTTATATACAAGGATAAAACAAACGTCGACAAATAGAACAATCTCCAACATATATAACACAGCTGCTTGCGTTTTGGATCTACCTGTATACACAATTCATTTGATAGCTCAGGTAAGGCGAATGTTTTTTTTCCAATGAAATGATTCCTCAAAAGCCTTAATTATCTGGCACGAGATCGCAGTTTTTAACAATTCTGTTCCACACCATTTGGCCAGTTTTGTTAAGTTTAAAATAATGTCCGTGATAATAAATTAGGAATTTAAAAAAGGAGAGCTTTACATTTTTCGTTGGTTATGCTATATCGAATCTTCTTTATTATAAATGAACTTGTAAATGAACTAACATTACAATAAATATTGGTGTGGTTGATTCCAGCTCAAACCTGTCTACTGTGCTTTTCTGTTAAACACAACATTAAATGCGACGTCGAATACAGCGCTGTGAAAGTATACAGCTTCAATGAAATAAAATCATATTGCTGTAAGGTATTTTGTGAATAATTCAACGTTGAACTTACTTAAAATGGTAACAAGGTTATCTCATTGAACCTCAATGCTGTAACAACGCTGTGCTCGATGTCGAGTTCAACGCTGATTTTTTTTACAGAATAGCGCTGCAGTAGTTTTTGTTTTCTTTTTGTTGCGCTGCAGTAAACAATTGTAAAAATATTCGATATAATCTTGTTAAATATGACATATTTGTATCTATAAATGTAATTTTTTGTACTATATAAAAAATATTTTTTAGAATGTAATTACAGTAATTATAATATTTTTTAGAATGTAAATAGTATATACAAGAGGGTGATTAAATATCATTGTTTGCTAGTGACTACGTAGTAGCAATGGAATGCAACCTAAATTAAAATTAGAATTTTTGTGGAAAATTTTGAGAGTGGCAAAACTGAATTGGCATCAATATCTGTACATAATTTAGTTATTGTTTTATATCCCATTAACGTATGTCAAATAGAACAACACGTAAAAACCACGCATGATTTGTAACTAGGACTTAATATATTATGTTTTGTAAGTTATCCTATTAAATAAACAAACAAAGCAAAGTGAAGTAGGTAATTTTGTTTGTGTCGCGGTTCCTTACGAAAACGAATATAGTTATATAGTGACTAATATTGATTAATTTTTACTGTGAATAATAAAATAAAGTTGTAATGTATGTATAAGTAGGTAGCCGGTACCTATGTAGGTACCGGTACCTACATAGATTAAGTAACTATTTATATTTGTGGGTACTTCGGTGCCGTTTTTGTAACGCTCGTGTAAATGGTTCAGTCAAATTATAATCGTCTAACCAAGTGACATAGTGTTGGCAACATAAAATTTAATAGAGAGATTTATATTTCTTGGGCTGGCAACTCTCGCTCTCTTTTCATGGCGCCGCCATTACGTGTACATGTAAAATAATTGATTACACATTATTTACTATATAAATGTGTTTATTGGAACTCAGCGCCCTTCAACAATCAAGGAAATGTAATCATCGTAGAGAGAGAGAGTAATTTGAGATGATTAGAAAAATTACACATATGTTAACTCATTATTACAATATTTTTGCGTTATTTCTTTTCTCCACATACCAATAAGAATTTAGTGATTTTGATCCAGGTGTCTTTTATTACATGACTGTTGTATAAAATTAACTAATCCAAAGTTTAGACGCAGTTATAGGTTAAAGTTATAAATGTATGAAAAATGTTTTAATATTTTTATAATAAAAATATGAAAGCGGTCCGTGTTGTAATTTCAATAATTCACTTTTTGTATATTATCGGTAATTAAGTTAAACGTATGCCTGTAACTGCCCTTGAATGTGCTTTAGGTATGTTTTAAATGATCGATCATCGATTAGGAAATCCTGACTCAGGTCAGTTTTCTTTAGAGCTGACATACAAAATATAAAAATTTGTATACAAAAATAAAAATACAAAAAGCTCTTACACAAGTCCAAGCGGTGAAAACATGCCGAGGTTCCACCAAAACCTTCCCTTGTTCCAAGACACGCCTTTGGAATGCAACCAATTGTGTCACACCGCGGGAGTAAACAGGCGAGTCAGTTTTGTCGTTATTTCTGATATATTAAATAATATATAAATATCTTCAAAGTAACTTTATTATTTAATATTCTGTCTTTTCAATTTAAATTAACTTTATGATTAACACATGATTTTGATTTAAAATTCAGTTTGAGTTTTATAGTAGCATCAGCCGCAAGGCATAAAATTGCAACTCGTGAATGTAAGTGTGATAGTTTGTTTAAATGTTATCTTATGACTATAATTCCGACCCCTATTCTTAAATATTATCAAAAATAAAAGAAATAAAAATCTAAGAAAACGTCTTATGCTGTGGCTGCTGTAAAATGCCATCGGACGCGATGGTGTATTGATGTATATGGGCACCGTTTTGAAAACATTGTTGTTATTTTATTACTATATCTAATAAAACTAATAACTTACCACAGTTTTTTATTTTTAAAGAACTTTCATATTAACCTTTTTCCGGCAAAATTAAATTATTTAAAATTGTAGAGTATAAAAATTGTTGTTTCTAAAACACTACAGTGAAAAAAAATCAATGCGGACAAAAGAGACAACTGCTAAGTTTCTTCCCTGTTCTATCAAAGTTTTAAGTCGTAGATTTGAGATCTCGAGACGAAGTTCTTAGAGTTTTACAAATGTTGTTTTTTTAATACTTTACATTTTTAAATAATTTAATATAGCTGGACAAGGGTCAATGTGAAAGTTCTTAAAAAATATAAAACTGTGCAAAGTAGCAAGTTATAAGTTTTATTAGATATAGTAATGAAATAATAATAATATTTTCAAAGTGGATGTCCATTTACTTCAATGCAACATTGCGTCTGATGGAAGCATCGATAAAACCACTTTTCCCACTTAATAAAGTTTGAATTAGATAAGTTAAAGTAAACAAATTACAATACCAAGTACTATTAATGTATATTTTTTAGGACAAAACTACCTGTAAACTATTTCTCTTTGGTATAAAACTTAGAATGTTCTACGGCGGCTTACGATGTGT